CCCCAATTGAGCTCCCCATTAATTCCCCACTTAAGGCCTTAACTCCATTTGATTTGAATTTCAAATTCAAAACAATTCCCTCCTAAACGAATCAAAATCTGAAATTAATTTCATATTTTGATTAATTCATTCATTCATCCTCACTTAACCTAATCCTTTCAATCTCTCCTAGCCGAACTAAGCCAACCAGCAGCCCTCACAGCTCCCAAACCTAGCCGCCTCTTTTCAGGCTCCTCTACGATTTTCCCCTCTCCCCCAAATGGGTATTTGCTGTCCTGCACTAGAGGAAGGTTGAAACTATTGTTCTGAAGCCCCTTGCACCAGATTTCTTTCTTACCTTTGGAGAGCTCCTAACTGCTGTACAAGGATTACGGCAACAAGACCTTGCTGTCCTGCAGACCAGACAGGTTTCCAAAGTCAAAACAATTGCTGCCCAAGGATTCCTGCAGTCCCGGAAAATCCCTGCAGCCACCAACGGCTGTCCACGTTTGTGAGGAAAGTTAATCTCGGCGAAGTGCGAGGAGGTTCGTGGTTGCTGCCCTCTTCATTCCCAACTGCCATACTACCTTGCCGGAGCGCGTATCTCTCTTGCCTTTGGGTAAAATCGACACTCGACTCTCTATCTTCATAGTTGCATCCTTGAATGTGAATTTATTATTTTCATGAAGATCATGTCAATTATTTGCCGCTAGAACTTAGTAATAGGAAGAGTTGTGTGAGGGACCTTTCATAGACTAATCTTAGTGTTAGTATTGGAATTTATTGTTGGAATGATCCAAGTATGCAATGTCAGATTAAGTTGGCTATCTTTTTGAACTTAACTTTTATTCATGTAATTTAACTTAAGCTAAGTGCCTTTTAATATTTATCTTGTCGTTCAATTCCGCATAAGAACTTGCCTATTATGGCCTCTAAATCTAAGTGTGCAAACTTTCATTAAGAAAATCATTTTCGCATGGGATAGTTCCACATCAGATAGATTCACGAGGATCTTGCTCACCAAACTCTGCCAAGCTCAGTAAACGTAGGGATTGAGTGCACTTCATTTATTTCTAATCTTGTTGTTAGATTAGAGATTTTTCGTTGAAAGCTATTATATTTGCATGACGTTGATTTTCTTTGTTATTCTGATAATTCAAAGCTCTTATTGTGTAACTTAGCTTAAACGAAGTGACCACTCTTACGTTTTATTTTGTCGTTTTTATTTTCTAAAAAAGTTCTAATCATTAATATTCTAATCAATAAGTCGTGCAAGTTCTTATCAAATTACTTTAAGCATCGTAGTCCTACATCACTAATTGATCAATCCATGGGTCAAGTTTTTCTGTGTCTTTCGTTCCATGTGTCGTTCATCCCATCATAAGTATGTTTATAATTTGGCGTTGATACTTTCTGCATGAGATTAGAGGTTGGAAGTTCAATATAGCTTTTTTCGAACTATTTTGGATGGTTCCTTGAACCTCTTGGCCAAGATCATTGATCAATTTTTATGAGAGTATATTTGAATGATGACCTTCACATAGGGACAAATCATTTAGCAGCGGACAAATCATTTAGCAGCAGACAAATGAGGGCATCACAAATGTAGGTCATTACTTTCCGCTTAAGCTAAACAAGAACTGGCTCTAGGTGTTGGGGCCGTACTGCATCTGGCTTTTGAAAATATTACAAGTTTAAGGAGTTGCATTACACATTGTGGCAAGAAATTGTCGAGAAAGCAATATTTGCTTGGCTGTTTTGTTTCTGCTGCTGGAGTTTTTGGGATCCATTTAAGTGGATATTTCGATTTAAGGAATCACCAATCTCCATTATCTTAATATACATGAGTCTTTATAGAAGATGGATTTATAAAGCTAACCTTAAGCTGTTTGATTAATGCTAATGATGATTAAAGTATTGCCACTGGCAAGCTCAAATTTTAATAAAAACTAAAATCTCCAACATTTTGGTCGATTAGTTGTATGACGCACGCACAGATCACACCTTGCAACTGGTTTTGACGTGAATTCCATGCTATGGCTGTCTGTTTAACTTTTTAAAATTCCTGTTGAATATGTGATATTTTATTTGAAAATAAAATTTAGCAAGCCAATTAAACTATATCCTATGTTAGTTTTTTTTAGATAATTATATTTAGTTGCTTAGTCACTGGCTTTTGATTCCATACACTATTTATACGCAAAACCTCAGACTGACCTTTATTCACAAATATGCACGGATAGTCAGTGATTTTGTTAGTTATTCAGTTATGGCTATTTTGTTTGTTTGAAGGCAGGTATCTTGTAACAACATTGAAGGTAGTCCCACGTGGCACAGAAGGTGCTGTTAGTGTTGAAGGGACTATTGCTGGAATTTTGGCTTCGGTTCTTCTTTCTACTGTCAGCTATTTTATGGGCGAGGTAATTTTCCTTTGCTTGGCTCTTCTTAATTATTGATAATAGATAGAATTTCATTTTTTTCCTTTTTATTAGCTTTCACACTGTTGGGCTTGAGGAGGAAAGCATGCTTTATTGGTTATGTATTTCCCAACCCTGATAAATTTAAAATTCTTGTATCATGCCATCTTTAAGTTGGCCATTGTTAGGAAATACTTGAGTTCGCAAGTAATCCTATCGGATCTACTTGAGTTCGCAAGCAACCCTAGTACAAATTTGATCGAAACAGCGATAATAATCAAGATGGGGAAGAAACGGACAATAAAACAAAAGAGAGCTTTATTGAAAACTCAAAGCAAAGATACAAGAGATCCTCTATTCGAGAGGAGGATCGTTCTCTCCAAATCTCTAGACGCGATGTCTAGAGCCCAAAAACTCCAAGAGACCCCAAGAGAACACCAATCTAAGCATGCCCTACCCCCTTCCTCCTTATCCCTATTTATAGCCTTCATCCTAGCCCTAAACCCCCCCCCTCTTACTAAAAATACATTATTTTTATTAAATCAAATCTCTTACTAAAAATATATTATTTTTATTAAATCAAATAAGCTTGCACCTCCCCAAAATACAATTAAATCAAATAGGCACCTCCCTCCCAAAATACAATTTGTTTAATTAAATCAAATAGGCGTGGGCCCCAATGCTAGGCGGCAAACCAAGGGAGGCGGTTTGCACTGCCTCTTGTAAACATGTGCCGGCCCAGGTGGGGCTGGTTGGGTCGGTTTGGGAGGAACCGACCCTCCCCAGGTCGGTGTGGCTTGCACCGACCTATCAGCCATCTGGTTTGCTTTTCTATGTACTACTAAATACAATGCTGATGAGCATCCGAAACTATTGTATTGTATAAATTGTTTAATAAAATGCACTTGTTCTGGTTTTCCTACCCTGAATTAAAATGATGAGCAGCTGCAGGATTTATAATTATGCAATGGAGCAGTAGGCAGTTCGTGTTTCTTTTGGAATTCAGCAGTGAGGTTTAGTTGCACAATAAGGATAAAGTTTTTTTTATAATTTTTTATTTGTTGATTTTTTTATTTTTCTTGTGTTCAATAGAATATTGTTAATAGAGTGAGGAAATATATATACCAAAAAAACTAAGGAAAAAGAAAAGAGGCTACAAATTGTAATCAAGGCACAATTAGGTTAGAAAATTATAAGCTATTTAAAGTGAAGGCACTAGGAAATACTGAAATACAGTTTTGAGAAATTATTAAATATAAATTTTAAGAAAGAAGTTACATTTGATTGAGATACAGCTTTTTATCTCAACATGTTTCTAATTAATTATCATGGTATTCGATCAAATGATATCTCAAAGTTAATAAAACCCATATGAAGATCCTTTCTTTGCTACCTATATTTTTTTCATTCATTGTCTCAACAAAAAAAAAAAGTTTTCATATCTATTCTTTCTTTGATTCTTGAATACTAGCATAATTTTTTAAAGTTCACATTCCATTACTCTCTCTCTCATAATGTCAATGTTCGACACATAAGCTTGGATTCTTTACAATTAGCACAATCATGAATGTCCCGTATCTCTTAAATATTTATATCAAATTGCTTCTTCTCTAATCATTTGACATTTTCTTAACCTTCAATTTTTAATTAAAAAAAGTATTCATCAAACAACTGTATTATCTCCTAATAATTCTCCTAATCTCAATAGGTATCTCATTTAAATATAAAATTTCACCTTTATGAATCTTCTTCAAAGCCATGATAATTAATTTGATACATGTTGAGATAAAAAGGTACGTGCTAAAGGTATGTTTAAGACTTTAAGTTATATATATATATATATATATATATATATATATAGTATTAGAAGTAGTTGTCGAATGATCATAGAGTTTCAATTCTATTAGAATTACATAAAGGGCCAAGCGTGAGGCCATATCATTTTGTATTGATATTTGAGATGCTTAAAAATGATTTTCAAAATGAAGTTCCTAGGTATCTGTTTCCTATAAATGAATAGTGAAAATTTTGAATAATGGAAAACAGTAAAACTAAAAAATAAAATAAACTACTACATAAAATGACTCAAAATAAAACTCCTGATCATGGCCGTCGATCTCCGGCGTCTCTGATGGTACACGTGTCAAAATCGCTGATGATGTCCTCATCATTCTCCCCAGGTGGGAGAAAACTCGACCTCGTCTAGTAATCATCTATAGAGCTCTCGTACCACTCTAGTAAGTCGGGGTCCACTCGCTGCAGCTCGTCACGATCAACCCATGTGTTCTCCATCTCCGGGTTCCCTGCCCATTTGAACTAGATACCTTTGTTGACCATCATCTCTAGTGGAGATTTGAGTTCATCACTAAGTATTGTCTCAATCTTCTCTGTATTGGGTAAATTAGGCAATTTTGGGAGTGGAGTTAGGCTGGGGTTCTCACCAGGTGGGTTCACACAAGGCTTATTATTTAGTGGAATATGAGGGTTACACTCTGGACCTTCGAAGGCTACAAGATCTTCGATGTTAACATAGAATTAATGTTAAAACATTCAGGAAGGTCTGACACCTAAGCATTACTATTTATTTTTGCTGTTATTTGCAAGGTCCAATGCTTCTAGCATATAACTTTTCAACGGTCCCTTGTGGGAACCGCTCCGAACGAATCCGAGCCATTACAAAATCTCTAATATCAAATTCTTTGAACCGTCTCTGAGATCGGCAGTAAGTTTATAACTGGCATTGCTTTGGTTAATCTTTTTATTAATATCCTTATGCAGTTCTTGAATATGAGATGCAAATGTGGATGCAAGAAACACGGGTATGAATGACAAGAATCGTGAGCTCACACAAAAGTTTTAAACATAGACAATTTTGGAGGATCACGGACTACAAAACACACACACACAACATACTAACTCACACGAACACATAGCTAGAAAAAAGGTGGACGAGTCACAAAAAAAAGGGGGTCTAAAGTGTTCGGTCTAAGGGAACTGGTGTAGGGGGAGCCATGAAGACATTCGTAGCTACCAGGGCACTTATATAGGAAGTTTCAGTTAAGGTCGTAGGTAGTCTCCTAGGGTCAACGGTGTCATCTAGTGAATTCATCCCACTAGGAGAGAGATGGTTCTTGACAGGGAAGGACAAGCACATAGCGGGCAAAACAAATGAATCAGGAACAAGATAAGAAGATGGGTCCTGACTCACAGTTATGATGGGATAACCCAAAGAGTCACCATCAGGTATGAGACTCAAGAAATTGTGTATGGTATCCATAACAGAAGTGGGCACAACAGTTAGAGTTGTGACAGGAAAGTATGGGCTAAGACTCTCTCTAACATTAAAGTCGGTATGAGGAGTGATGAGATAAGCCCAATCACGAAAGTCACACTCTTTCAAATGCAGTTCTAAAGGGGTCACTCCTAAAATATACTCCAATATAACAATAGGAGACTCATTATTCAACTTAGGCTCATAAATTTTTTGACTCAAATCACTATCTTCCAAACTCATAGTATTATTCTCAATAGAAACATGATAAATGGGTTCAGGGTCAATTAAATCGGGAGTTAAAGCATGTAGTAAGTTTAGTTGAACCACTTCCGACTCAAGATTATTACCATCAAAATTATCCGAAGTCAACTCAGTAGGTGATACAACTAAATCAGGATCTTCCGAATTTAAATTCAATGTGTTCAAGGTCAGATTGGCTTCTTTCGTGCTCACATTACTATTGTTCAGGCATACTCTATCCAAAGAGTTATCCTCGAGGAGAATAGGATCAGGGCGGCCTAAGGTGTCGATGTTTAAAGGTTCCAACTTTCCTAGCTCAGGGTTTAAGTCATGCCGGGAGTCTGATTCACTCACTTCTATTTCATCCTAAAAGAATTTTTCGTTATCAGGAACATCATTAGCATTCACGAAATGGATGCACTCAGTCTCAGGTTCAGAGGACCTTTTCTTTTTAATGTATTTCTTTATTATAAGCATACTTGCAGGGTCAAGGGATGAGGAGGTTAAAGGTTGACGGGGATGGCTAGGATTCGGCCCAAGTGGGGATTCATATGGAACCGATCCAACAGATGACCCCATAGAGGGTCGGCCTTTAAGGTTTGGTGAGGACCTACAGGGTGGGGCAGCAACCCTGATGTCACTAAAGGATGAGTGACCATAAGTAGGGGAAAGATATTTTAAACCAAGTTCTCGTCTCATGTTTTTCCAATCGGAGGTAGGGTATTCACCACGAGACTCTTTATGATCTTCCAACCTCATCCAAAATTGGAGAGCACTACCGCTCAGGTGTGACCTAGCAATGCTAAACTGGCGAGAATTAGGGATTTCATGCGATTCAAAATAGTCCTCTAATTGTCTAACCCATTCCCTAAAGTAGTAGGGGTCCAAGGAACCATCAAAGGTGGGTAGACGGTAATTCTTAATTATTGATAATAGATAGAATTTCATTTTTTTTTTCTTTTTATTAGCTTTCACACTGCTGGGCTTGAGGAGGAAAGCATGCTTTATTGGTTATGTATTTCCCAACCCTGATAAATTTAAAATTCTTGTATCATGCCATCTTTAAGTTGGCCATTGTTAGGAAATACTTGAGTTCGCAAGTAATCCTATCAGATCTACTTGAGTTCGCAAGCAACCCTAGTACAAATTTGATCGAAACAGTGATAATAACCAAGATCAGGAAGAAACGGACAATAAAACAAAAGAGAGCTTTATTGAAAACTCAAAGCAAAGAAAGATAAGCAAAGATATAAGAGATCCTGATGTGAAACATATGCATGGAAATAATAACTGCTTGGGGATTTTTAATATAAGATTATTAAAACTTTGCTAGTTATAGAATTAATGCTTACCCAAGTTAGGTTTTCAGAATTCTCAAGTCGAAGTTATGTGAGGCATGCGGTTACAACTAGATTAACGGGACAATATCAAATTGACAACATATAAATAGAGAGTAATGTTATGGTGAGAAACAATAATCCACAGTTAACAAATAGAACTCTTCACCTTGGGTCCCTCACTCACGCTCTTGATGGTGGAGCTTTAACGGTGGAAGATTGAGAGCAAACCGAGCGATGCCACTAGGAGACAAATGGCGCCCAAGGTGTAGTTCGTTGGAGAAGTAGCCGGAGGCAGGTAATCCACGGGTTGACTAGTGAGCATGATACTTCTGGACAGTGACTGGGGATATTCTGGGCAACAATGGACCAATTCCGAATGGGCAGGACAGCAATTTTCCTGGTTCAAAAGTTCGGGACAGCCACTAGAATCTCTCCAGAATTCTGGAATTAGTTCAGAACAGCAGCTGAACTTTTTTCTGGACAACAATGGAGTTTTTTAGGATTTCTGGACAGCATGCATGTTCTGACCAGGGATTTGGACAGCCCGTAGCAACTTTAGGAATGGGGAAAATCCATGAGGATGGGGCTTGGAGAAGGCAGTTAAGGCTGCGGGAGATTAGGTGTTTGATTGAAGAATTAATTTAGGGACAATTAATGGGGTGGGGCTACGGGGAGATTTAAATTCAGCTCCAAGTGGTTTTGGAGGGAGATTAATTTGTAAATTAATTCATTAATGACTAGGAGCATTAATTGAGGTAATTGGGGCTGATTTGGTGGAGCTTTTAATTTAATTTGGGAGAGAGAAAAACCAATTAAAGGGGGCTGGCCACATGGAGAGAGGGGAGAGCACAATTGACATAAGTAGAGTGGGGACCACAACTTTAATCAAGGATTTAATTAAAATTTGAATTGATTATCAGATTTTTTTTTTTAAATAGGAAAGTTTCCAAATAGATGAGTAATCAACTGGGGAAGATTTGAATTTCAAATTTGTGTAACTCTTAATTAATTTCCCAAATTAATATGGATTAATTAGGAAAGTCATTAAGAGAGGGGAATTCAAAATTCAAAGGGAAGAGCTAGAGGGGGCCGTCGGCAAGGGGGTCCAATGGGTGGCCGGCGGGTGGTGCTTGGGAATGTTGAGTTCGAATGGACTTAGAGGTGGTATTTCGGAGGTGGGGTGGTGGTGGAGATGGAAGAACGCCGGAAGTTGAAGATGGAGGAATGAAGAAACAAAATATGATAAAAGTAAAAATAACGAACTCACAAAGAGATCGTAAGAACCGCGAATCTTGGACTCTTCCAAAGATTGACGGGTATTGCAAATCACCCTCCTCGGGCTTCCCTCCTGAACTCACTAAGAGATCAAACAAGCACAAGCTTTTTTTTTCATTCAATAATTCCTCCTCTCATACAATGCATGAGGCCTCCAATAAATAGGCCAAAATGAAACAAAAACTAAAAGACATAAATACCCTCGGGGCTACACTATCAAATGATCACCCATAAGGGTAAAACAGTAAAACTGAAAAATAAAATAAACTACTACAAAAAATGACTCAAAATAAAACTCCTGATCATTGCCGTCGATCTCCGGCGTCTCCGATGGTACACGTCTCAAAATCGCTGATGATGTCCTCATCAGATCCTCTATTCGAGAGGAGGATCGTTCTCTCCAAATCTCTAGACACGATGTCTAGAGCCCCAAAACTCCAAGAGACTCCAAGAGAACACCAATCTAAGCATGCCCTAACCCCTTCCTCCTTATCCTTATTTATAGCCTTCATCCTAGCCCTAAATCGCCCCCCACCCCCCTCTTACTAAAAATACATTATTTTTATTAAATCAAATAAGCTTGCACCTCCCCAAAATACAATTAAATCAAATAGGCAAATAAGCACCTCCCTCCCAAAATACAATTTGTTTAATTAAATCAAATAGGCGTGGGCCCAATGCTAGGCGGCAAACCAAGGGAGGCGATTTACACCGCCTCTTGTAAACATGTGCCGGCCCAGGTGGGGCCAGCTGGGTCGGTTCGGGAGGAACCAACCCTCCCCAGGTCGGTGTGCCCCAGGTCGGTGTGGCTTGCACCGACCTATCAGCCATCTGGTTTGCTTTTCTATGTACTACTAAATACAATGCTGATGAGCATCGGAAACTATTGTATTGTATAAATTGTTTAATAAAATGCACTGGTTCTGGTTTTCCTACCCTGAATTAAAATGATGAACAGCTGCAGGATTTATAATTATGCAATAGAGCAATAGGCAGTTCGTGTTTCTTTTGGAATTCAGCAGTGAGGTTTAGTTGCACAATAAGGATAAATTTTTTTTTTTAATAATTTTTTATTTGTTGATTTGTTTATTTTTGTGTTCAATAGAATATTGGTAATAGAACGAGGAAATATATATACCCAAAAAAACTAAGGAAAAAAAATAAGAGGCTACAAATTGTAATCAAGGCACAATTAGGGTTGAAAATTATAAGCTATTTAAAGTGAAGACACTAGGAAATACTGAAATACAGTTTTGAGAAATTATTAAATATAAGTTTTAAGAAAGAAGTTACATTTGATCGAGATACAACATTTTATCTCAACATGTAGCTAATTAATTATCATGGTATTCGATCAAATGATATCTCAAAGTTAATAAAACCCATATCAAGATCCTTTCTTTGCTACCTATATTTTTTTCATTCATTGTCCCAACAATGGAGAAAAATGATTCATGTAGCCGACCCCACGTAGTGGGATAAAGACTTGTTGTTGTTGTGTCTCAACAAAAAAAAAAAAGTTTTCATATCTATTCTTTCTTTGATTCTCGAATACTAGCATAATTTTTTAAAGTTCAAATTCCATTACTCTCTCTCATAATGTCAATGTACGACAGATAAGCTTGGATTCTTTACAATTAGCACAATCATGAATGTCCCGTATCTCTTAAATATTTATATCAAATTGCTTCTTCTCTAATCATTTGACATCTTCTTAACCTCCAATTTTTAATTAAAAAAAAATATTCATCAAACAACTGTATTATCTCCTAATAATTCTCCTAATCTCAATAGGTATCTCATTTAAATATAAAATTTCACCTTTATGAATCTTCTTCAAAGCCATGATAATTAATTTGATACATGTTGAGATAAGTAGGAGATTATATATATATTATAAAAATTTTGGACAACATATTCAATTAGCTTTTTTATAAGTTTTTTAATTTCAAAATTTTAAAATAAATTAAGTTATTTTTAAATACAGGAAGTGAGTTGTAGGTGTTTTTAGTGTATTTAATAAGAACTCCCAACTTCCCGGCCTTGAAAATCATATGGGCTAACCCCACACCCATCGTAAGCTTGCCCTGTGCCCACCGCCGACCATCATGGGTACATTTGTCGGTCAACCTGATACGCCTTGGTATTAAAAACAACCAACTAACAAGAGAAATTCAGAACAAAACATATTTTTTTATTGCTAGGGAACTAAATAAGAAAAGCAAAATACAATGGTCGTCTTTAAAGAGGAGCTTCTCTCCCAAACCTTAGACGCTGCTAGAATCCCTCACACAGATTACTACAACACTCAAAACAAAATCTGCATAAACCTAAAATAAACCCTATTATGGACTTAATAAGCTTCCTCCCTTGAAAAAAAAAAAAAAAGCTTCCTCCCTCTCTCCAAAATCATCCCCCTTCCTAATATGTATCATTCCTTAATTAGAAAAATAATTCAATCAGGAAAGGTTTCAATTATGAAAGAAAATAAATTAGGAAAGGATTTCCTAATTGATTTTTTTCTAATTTCATTTAGAAAACCTTCCTAAACAATTAAATACTTCTTAAATAATATAAACATATTTTAGGAAATCTTCATAAACAATTAAACATGATTTAGAAAACCTTCATAAACAATATAAACATAATTAAAAACCCTTCCTAAACAATTCCTCCTTAAGTAGGAACCTTCCTAACCATCCCCTTGATTAGGAACCTTCTAAATATATTCCTCTGGGCCCCACAAGTTGGCCCGCCCTCCGGGCATATCACAACCCTAAGTCGAAGCCGTTCTCTGCCAACACCTCTAGCTGCGACACCATCATCATTTTCCAAAGCACAAAAGAAGTCGACTTATGCAATATTCAATTACAAAAAATTATATTTGGGATAGCAAATATATTTTAATTTATATCAAAACATAAATAAAATAAAACAAAACAAGAAAAGGAAAGCAAAAAATGATCCCGAAGCCCTAAAGAATCTTCTTGAGTAAATCATTAAATGTTTAATCCATCAAATTTTAATTTTTTTTTTTTAACTTGAAAAAAAAAAAATCTTTGTTCATTTTTCTTTTCCGTTTTTGTGTATATAGTACCTACTTTTGTTTATTCTGCATGACTGCTACTGCAACTTTTCTCTCACAGGTAACTGCACCACAAGCTGCCATATGTGTTCTAGCTTCACAGATTGCGAACATTGGTGAAAGCTTTATAGGTGCTGCATTTCAAGAGAAAGATGGTTTCCAATGGGTAAGGTCAAATTTTAATTATTTCTGGAATAACTCTTGTTTTACATTTAATTACCGTTTCTGAATGATGTTTTTTGTTTCATTTTATATTTGTTTTGTTCTAATAGCTAACAACAATAACTTTTTGGAAATTTGTAGCTCAATAATGATGTTGTTAATGTAGCCAACATCTCCATTGGTAGCATCTTGGCAGTTCTGATGCAGTTGCTCGTATTTGATGGCTGCCGCTGATGAGTGATTTACAACAAATCATCATTTTCTGTGTTTCCATTGCCTTTTTGGTATTGCTATCTCGGTGAGTTGTTTTCTTGGACACTTTGAAAACGGAACAATTAAATTTATGATTTTTGGAAGCTAGGGTTTTAACGTATGTATATTTGAATGTTCCAGGGATAATTTAATTGTGCTAAAGATGAGGCTCTCTAATTGCTTTCAGCATTGCATTATTGATATAATTAATTTTTTCCTAGAAAAAACATGTAGCTAAATTTTTTATTTCAATTTATTTCTTAATTTGACATACTATTTTTGGAGAAAGTTGAAGGTCACGCTCAGCCATTTCTTTAATATAGCGATATTACATGGCAGTTTATAAAGTGGCATTAGCCCCTAAAATTATAAAAAATGGGAACCTTGAAGAAAATTATCATTAAACACAACAAAAGTAAAAGCTCCCATGTTCAAAATAAGATTAATACAAAAAGAGATATCATAGAAGACCCAATTCGTTATGCACACGTAGAAGTGGCTGCTCTGCACAAGGAAGCAGTGATCTCTGTAGTATCTGTAATTCTCGGGCAAATAATTTGGCACTGATTTTGTTATTAGGATATGGAGCCGGTAGAGAGTACACTGATATCACTTATATGCCTGTTATTCACATTAGGGCATTAACGATAGACTTAATGTCTGTTCTATGCCCTTGTTTTCCTAGGTAACATTGTAAGTTGAAAGGATCATTATATGTTTATAAGATTTTATGGTAATTGCCCTTGATTTGAAATGAGTGGATTCTTATCCTTACCTAAAAAATTTTGAATTATTTTTCTTGTTCATCAAAAGATAAATTATGGAGTTTTATAGAAATATCCTCATTAAATGGTAAACCAATCACTTTTGATAAACAAGAAAAATAATTTCAGAAGTTTGTAGGTAAGGACAATAATTTATCTCATTTCACAAAGGGCAATTATCATAAAATCTGATATAATGTCAAACTAGGATTTCATAACCCTAGTAATAATATTGGAGGAATTTTAAAAAAGAGCATACTTAAACTATGATTAAGAAAAAGGAGCGTACTTAAAAACCAAAAAGTTTTCTTAACATTTTAATTGATTGGATCAAAGCATGTATTGAAAATGTACATTATCCCATTTGCATAAATGACACTCTTGAAGGTTTGTTTAGCTCCTCATGAGGGTTAAAAACAAGGTCGTTCTCTATCTTTTTATCTAACTGCATTGTTCTGGATGACCTCTCTAATCTATTTGAAAGAGCTATCTTGATGAATTCCCACTCAACTATTACAATGAGAAATCACCATTTCTCTCAGTTGCTTTGTGCAGATGATTTGTTGGTTTTTCAATCTACAAAATATCTAAGCTCTCACTGAAATTTTAAGCACTTCAAAGAGCTCTTGGGGTTACTCTAAGCTTACCGCCAATCAAAATGAGTTTGTTGGGTCCTGAATTTTTCTAGAGTCAATACTACCGTTATTCTGGGCATCCCTATATCAACTAAAAGGCTGCTAATATATGATTTTTTTCCATTAATGAACAAAGCCTCTCTTTTGTTAGACTGGAAAGCTAAATCTCTTTTATTCACTGTTAGCTTGAAATTCCTGAGATTTATCATATGGAACAATCAAAATGAGCTTTGTTGGGTCCTGAATTTACCTAGAGTCAATACTACTTGTCTTATGTAAGCCCAAGGGGCAAATGTGTATTTTAATTTTTTTTGAGGCCTATATATAGAGGCTCATTCTCTTGTATTTGGTATGATGGAATTATAATAAAAAAATTTGTGTTTTGCGCTTGTGTTCTTTGGGAAGAACTTTAGTGAAATCCCTATGGGAGGGAATCAGAGTTTCCACCAGCCGCAGGATGGGTCCGGGCTCGTGGCGTGAAGCCCCTTGGAGAAGGGCAACGTAGTACCCGTCAGCCGCAGGATGTGTCCGGGCTCGCGGTTGTATCCTTGATATTTTGTTTCTCTGTTTTTGCTCATTCTTATTGCTCCTCGTAGTCATATTCATCCTCTTCCTCCTTCATTTGCTTAATTAAGAGCCAATTAATGCTCCTAATTAACTCCCTCGTTAACTCAAAATTTTCCCTCCACAAATCCCTCATTTCAAATTCAAAACATTTTGAATTTTCAAATCTTTCCTAAATTAGCGAATCTATTTTAGGAAAGTTTTTAATTAAACTCCTATTTGAATTTTAAATGAGAAAGGATTTAATTAAATCTTTCCTCTTTCTTAATTTTGAATTAGGAAATCTCTTTTAAATTCCCCACATCCCCTCCCTCACTCCTATTACTGCCGGCTCTCCCTCTTGAATTCCTTTGGGAATTCTTTCCATATTGCAAATTGCTCTCTTGGAAAGAATTCAAAACCCCCCACATTGCCACCTCATTATTTCTTTCCCTTAAAATCAGCCCATTATTTTGAAAACACTTCCCAACTCAGCCATAGCTTACCCGTCCCCATGTTTTCCCGTTAAACCCCTTTTCCAAGCCCGGCTACCTCCTCTCTAGGCCACCTTCACGGTTGCTTCTCTCCACATCCAATTTCTGCTAGCTGCCCCCACTATCCAGCCACGCCACTGCTGTCCAAGAGAAGACCAGTTGCTGTCCAGAAATAATTCCAGGATTTTGACCAAGATATAGTTGCTTTCCTGAATTTTATACTCAGGAAAACTGCTGTCCAGCAGCCTAAAAGGCCATAATCTGCTGTCCAAGATTTCTAAAACCCCAAATCTGCTGAGAGATCCTCTCCTTAGCAAAGCATTCATTTTCGTTCTACATCATTAACACATGTAAACCTTAAGGACCTAGGGGTTCTGGGTATTCCTGCTTTATCTGCTTTAACATATGCTTAAAATTGCTTCAATATCTGGCACATCCTTACTTACAACGGGCTTTATAAATTGTGGAAAAATTAAAATGTTACTTTGTGCAGACCGAGCGCCTCTAATATTTCTCAGATCTAGAAGTCTTTTAGGATTGTTGCTAATGAGATTAGAAGATTTATATCTTTCTAAATAGGTTAATGCAGTAATATATCTCTTTTCTAGGATCCATGTTATAACGGTAAATATTTAAATGAGATTTTTGGCATTACTTCTCTTCCTCCTAGCTTGGACTTTAATGCACCTCTCTCGGCCATCATTTGCCAGGTCAATTGGCCTTTCCCCGCCGCTTCATGTGATATTATATCTGCAATGCTGATTTCTTATGAATTTGGAGACAATATTCTTTGATTGGGATCTAATAAACCTCATTTCAGGCTTTTTGTTAATTCATATTATTTCGATCTCCCCTGGAGCCTTGGAGCAAATTTATATGGCACAAAAAGTACTCTTTGAGATATTTAGTTTTTTCTTAGTTAGCCATTGTAGGTGGATTGAAGACTGTTGATGCCTTAATCAGTTGAAATATTCCAATTAAGGTTAGATGCAATTTCTGCATTCTCTGAACCTGAAAGCATAAGGCACTTGTTTTTTGAATGCGATTATACTTTTTGGCATACTTTGCAACATTCTTCCTTTAACCTCCACCTTTCTGCTTATACCAAACATTCTTCAGTTGTTTTAATATATTGCTGAGGTGCATGAGCCTTCTCGGGCTGTTAAAAATGTTACCTATCTTTTTATTTACTATGTGATATGTTATTTGTGGAGAGAAAGAAACAACAGGAGGTTTGAGAACTAAATTCAATGCCAATCAACCTTGTATCACCATATCAAGAAGGCCATTAATGCGAAAAATTTTTTGCTAAAAAAATTATAAAAAATCAGAGGGCTTGTATTATGATTGATGGAATCAAAGTTGCAATATGAACGATGAGGAATAGGTGTTCTATTGTAGTATTGTTAGACCGGTCCAGCCAGTCCACACGGGACCTGCCCATGCGAGCAGGTGGAGAAGTTCGCCTCTCCTGTACGCAGCGCGCAAGCCGCCCGAGTCCAAAGAGCAGATTTGGAAGGAATTTTAAGGGATTTGAGAGGAAAATTTGAATGTAGGGACTGTTTAGGGATTTCCTTTTGATTTGTATGCATTAAATAGTTTGTTTTCCAAGAGTTAGGGCATCTTGAATTTGGCTGAAATTTGAGATCACTTAGATCTAGGTTTTCTTTGGGCTCTAGCGTCGTCTAGAAATTTGGGAGAGATCGATCCTCATCTCGAATAGAGGATCCATTATATCTTGCTGTTTTTCTTCGTACTCTAGTGATTTTCTCATATTTTCCTACAGTTTCGCAAAACCTGAACTTCAGCTGCTGTTTTTTCTGAAATCCAGCAGTTTTCTGGATTTATAGTGGTTGTTTCCCATCGTCTACCTATCCGTAACTTCGAGCTTGCACTCCCTGAATGGCCTTTTGGGCAACCAGGGGTGCTATGGGCCAGCATCCGTCTTGTACATGATTAAATGGGTAAGTTTTTACCGTTATAAGTCCATGAACCGTTATGAGTCCATGATTTGAACTTTTGAAAATATATTTTAGCATTTTCCTATTCCATTCTTATATTTTCAGCATTGCTAATTTTTGTTGCAGCTCATGTGTTTCTTTGACATTCATTTTGAGTTGTATTTTGGGTGTATGCCTTTTTGTAATTATACTTTATAGTTAATAGGATGGGATTTGTTCTCAATTTTCTTACAACAACAATATCTAGCATTTATCCCACTATGTGGGGTCGGCTAGATTTTTCTTCATTTTGTCCTCGATTTACCAAAAAAGAAAACTTTTTTTTTAAACTGTGTTGAATTAAAAACTCCCAGAAAATAATAGATTCCTTTGACATACGCCAAAATCATTTCAGTCCATTGCTCATAATTTATCACTAGCTTTTATCTTTAAATTTTCCCCAAAAAAAGCTTTCTTAGCAGTAATGTCTAGCGTAATCTAGAGGTATTAGGTTCTGAGCCAAATAAATAAACATATAATATTTTTTTGTAAATATTGAATAAGATTAAGTATATTAATGCATTTAAATCCTACATTAATAAGGGTTTCCTTATCCGGGTATGGATTTTTCTTTTATCGTTTAAAGCATTTTCAAAATGCTCCATTTAGTTGTGTAACCACAGCTTTCTAATCGGACATTGTCAGTTGCAGAAGGACGATTCAATTTGTCTCATATTAACTTCATTTTCGTGATCTTCCAGTTATCGCCAAAGGGTTTACTTCTTAATCAAACAGCTCTAAGCATGTAAATTTAGTATCTTTGAGGGCTCTAGAAAATATAAAAAGAAAATTAAGTTTTTTTTTTGCCAAAAAGGTATGTAGCCTAAGGCAATAAGTAGCCTGTTTGAACTTTGAACTATAGATTGTGAAGAAATTTTTGTAGGTTTCTGCTGTATGGGAGTCTCATAAGACCAGCTGACTGGAATACTATTGTTCTCGCTGCTACGCTTCTCTCAAACCACGTTGTTGTACAGTGGCTCTGCAAATTTGTGTTCAGACACTTTCTTTGTTCGGTCAAATCTGCCAGTTATGTCAGGTGCTGTTAGATTCTATTACGAGCATTTTTTTGATAGTATAGCCAGCAATTTATTACTGCTTACATGCTTTGATGACTAAATAATTATAATGGCTTTAGACTAAAATGCACTGTGCACCCTTCTGCCACTTTTTTACTGGATGTAATTGAAGTTTCATAGGAATTAAATGTTATCAGAAATGCTATACTATTAAAAAAAATTATTAAAAATTTTAGTCCTTTAACTTCTCTAAATAAAAGTGTCAATTAATTTATTTGTATATTAGAAAGTGGGGCTCCAACACTTTTTTTTAATATATTATTTTAGTAGTTGTGAAAAATGCTTTGTTGCCAAATTAACAGCACACAACTCATCTTGATATGTTGGTTGGAAGTTTAGGTTATCAACTAAGAGGTCTTGGATTCGAGTCTTATGTATGTGATGTGTGCATGAGTCTGCCTTAATTGACTTAAATGTTCCATAATAATAATAATAATAGCCAAAAGAAGATTTGATTTGCTGGCAGTTACATACACATTCTAGGAATTTGGGATGTGTGTGTGGGCTCTACATGTAACAACAATAATAACATCAATATCAAGCCTTTTATCCCATTATGTTGAGTGAATTTTTTTTTCAATGTGTCATATTAAGAGTCAAATTCTTATTTAAATCTAACAAAAAATATCATTTCTAATATTTTTTTACCAAATCTTCTTAAGTCTACTTCTACTTTTCTTTACATTGGTCAAATTTGGTACATCTACTCTCCTAATAGGGTCAGCAAAATGCTGATTTTTTTGTGTTCAAACCATCTAAGACGACTCTCTCTCTACACATGCATGGAGTGTAAATGTTAGTAAGGTTTGGTGGGGTTGATTATTAATAACCTGCGCATCTGATGTACTCTGCAATCCCTTTTGTTTATAATAATATTTATTTCTATTATTCAATCATTTGTATCAATGTCATAAAATTATTTATTAAATAATTATAATTCTTACAAACAATTATGTCTTGGGTCCAACAGTGCGAATACTACGGGCCATGTTTTAGATAATTAGATATGGAAATTTAGGTGTCACATATGTAAATATTAAAAAATTATGTGATGTGCATGTAAATGCCCCAAATAAGTTAGTGTAAAGTAATAACTCAGCGATATATTCGAGTTTTATGTAAGCCATGTTAAGTTTGGGATATATTAACATAGGTACAGGAATCTTTGCCGTCTACTGGCTCCCCTTTCAAACGTCTTTCCAAACTCTGACCCTACCTATTTTACCAAAGAACCCTCTCAAGCTCAACAATACCCCATCTCCATTATTTCCATCACATCAACACTCTCTCTCCCACTTTAATCTGTAGATCAAAAAAGACCCGCTAGAATATTTCGTTCCCTAACTCACAAACACTGAAATTCTCCCCTTCTCCTCCTTTCTTCTATCTCCAAGAACTTCCTCACTCTCCTCAATAATGCTGTTACTCCTATCTCCTTCCTTTCCCAAACTGATAATCCTTCATCTTCTTCTCTTTTCCCTCAACTTCATCTCTTCCATATCTGCTATTACCATGGATAATTTTGAAAAAGAAGCTCTCCTCTCCATCATGGATTCCATGTCCCCTGATAGACACTGGAGATCCTACAGCAATGAAGATCCTTGCAATCCAAGCTCCTCATGGCCTGGCTTAGAGTGTAAACCTGGTTTAGACAACCATTTCCATGTAACTAAACTTGTCTTTGGAACTCATCCCAATCCAACTTGCAGGAGCTCTGCTACTTTCCCTTCTCAAATCTTTACTCTTCCATTTCTTCAATCTATTCATTTCCTCAACTGCTTCAAGACCAAGAAGACAACACTCTTCTTACCTCACTCAAACTTCTCTTCTCTTCAGCAGCTTAGTCTTAGAGCAAACCCAGCTCTCATTGGGCCTATCCCACCTCATATCTTCTCTCTTGAATCACTTCAAATCCTCACTCTTTCACAAAACAATCTCCAAGGTGAGATCCCAGAGGCAATCTCTGCTTTGAGCTCTTTGATTCATCTTGACCTTAGTTATAACGCATTAACGGGCAAAATCCCAGTCCAAATGGGGAAACTGAGCAGCCTTGTAGACCTTGATCTTAGCTATAACTCTCTTATTGGACCAATCCCAACATCTATTGGTGAAATGGTAATGCTCCAAAAACTGGACTTGAGTTCTAATTCACTCACTGGAAGCATTCCGCTGAGTTTTAAGAATCTAAAGCTATTAATTTTCCTTGCTTTAAGTGACAATAGACTGAGCGGATATCCTAGGCCTCCCAATGGCCTTACCAATCTTCAGAGCCTTCAATACTTGTTCATGGATGGCAATCCGATGTTCGTTCCATTGCCGCCGGAGCTTGGAAGGTTGCGAAGGCTGCAGGAGCTCAAGCTGGCGAACTCCGGATACTCGGGGCGAATTCCTGGGAGCTTCACCTGGCTGAAGAACTTGACTGCTTTGTCACTGGAGAACAATCATCTCAGTGGTGAGATACCTTCTGGGCTGGGTGGACTTAGTAGGATATATCACTTGAATCTTAGCAGGAATTTGCTTGATGGAGTGGTTCCTTTCAATGCTGAATTCCTTAGTCGGCTTGGGAGGAACTTGGATTTGAGTGGGAATTCTGGACTTTGTTTTAATGGTAGTTCTAATGTTTTCAGAGAGAGTTTTGATGGAGTTGGTGTTTGTGAAAGTAGACCTTCTTCTTCTTCTTCTACTTCTAATGTTTTTCAGCCATTGGAGAGCTCCTCTGTGGCTTCTCCATCTTCTAGGTATCATTCCACTCAGATCTTGCATTGGGTGTTAGGTTTCCTGAGTTTCAGTGCCATATACCTTTGTATTTGCCTTATTTAGGTAGGCCACTGCCATCGGTTTTCTATTGATTTCTTCTTTGTTGCTTCAGTCTCTGACTTTCTTGTTCATCTTGCTATAACCAAATAATAATTATGTTTTTGATCATTTCTATGAAAAATTGAAGAAAGTTTATATTTATATATTTTTGCTGTAATTGTTTTCTTTTTTTTTGTGCTTTGTATAGCCCCTATATGTAGAGAGATTATTAGGTGCGGAGTGTGGACGGAGAGAACCATCCGCACAAGCACTATACTCAGCTAGGTACCGGCACTCGGTACCGCTGGGTACCGCTAGGTACCCAGTGCTTGTGCGGACGGTGCACACGCCGCACCTAATAATTTTTCCTATATGTAACACTTAACGATGCACTATGATCATGTTAGGTTGATCAACCACATTGAGGTTATGAGACATTGTTCCTAAGGGCATACCAGTTGGTCAATTATTCAAGATCTTTTCAAAATAACATTAGATTATTGTTTCGTTTGGGACAGCTTTCAGGTTGTTTCTAAAACGAATTTTCAGTACAAAAATTTTTGAATTAGAATATTTTGTATTAAAAAACTGATTTAGAGAATAATAAGAAAGATGTCTCAAACGAACATTATATTAGATAACTTACGAAAACCACATAAGTGTTCATACCAATTATTTTAATCGGCAAAGATCGTAAAAATTATTATCAATGGTTTATCGGTCGATTCAGATGCAAAGGCTCTCAACCACTTGATTAGAAATTATAGCCATAAGATTTTTATGCTCCAAAATGATTTATTCATCAATTATGAGACTTCATTAAATTTTGGAAACAGCCATGGGTCTAAATCACAATAAATGACTCAAATTATCATTAACACTCATTGTTATGTTTTAGGGTTGCATGCAAAGCTCTATCATCTAAGGGTTTATTTTTCAAGCATGGATTTTAGCAATATTGTGTATGACTCCACCTCATGTAACCAATGGGAATATTAAAATGCCCTTATTTCTTATAATGGCTTATTTTATAGAGGAGCACATTAATCGTTAAAATTAGTAAAATATTCTGAATGAGTCAAACAAAATAGCGCATTTAAAATACATTAAAAAAATATTTTGAATGTGCCTATTCTCTCTCCCCATCACAAACTTCAACATGGAATGATTGGCGTCGTCTTCAATAGCGCAATAGAAGATTTAAGCTTCTTCATTTGGGGTAATTTTTTTACTGCTTTATGAAGCAGGTTTTTAGTTCAAAAATTTTAATTTAAAAAAAAAATTGTACTAACAAATTACTTTATAAAGTATTAAAAAAATTATCCCAAATGAAATCTTAATAGGTGAAATTCTAAACTTTTTATTTTCAAGACTTGTTAAGTGGAAGATGATAAACGCTCACTAAAACTTACTAACATAAGTACTTACTGAGAATTAATGTTCCCATTATTATTCACATCATGAAATATCTCCAAAGAGAAGGTTTTGGGTTTAAGAAAGTGCATGATCCACCCTAAACACCAATCAAGAAAGTAGATATTTATCAAAAAATTATTGATTTTTAGGTCACTCAACTTCTCCTATTTGATTTGTTGAATTTTATTGTTAATAAATAAGATTTTATTTTATATATTTGAATTCATTGAATAAAATTTATTTTTTGTTTGAGTAAATTGTGTTGAAAGGTTGGCGATTATTTATTTGGTTAAGTTTGGTGGCCCGCCCGTTCTTCGAAGATTTTGACGAGTTTTTTTATTATTTTTCTCGTCTACTCATCTCTCCTAACATAATTTTCGTCTTCCCTAGTTAGACTTAACTAACCCCATATCATAGCCTCCCTTAACCGCAAGGCACCTCGAATTTTTTGAAAACTCTCCTTAACATTCTACCACATCCCCTATAATTTTCCAAGAAGTTAACTCCCCCTTTAACCCAAAAGTAACCTAGCAAAAAATATGGGAAGTTAATTTCTTGGTGTGAGTAACATGATTAAAAAATCTTCACATCTTTAACTATTTTGATCCAAAGCCCATATATATAGCATGATTAAATTTTTAATATCCTAAGTTGTTTATATGGAGTTCTTCACCATTTTCCTCCAAAAAATATACCCTTTCATAGCCTAATAGTTTTATTCTCAAATGTCCAAATTTCTAAATACTCTTTTCCAGGGGCAAAACCAGACTTTTGCTGGGCAATATTTTCATATAAATGAACGTAATTAAAAAAATAAAATAAAATGAAGACATAATTCAAAGAAAATTTTTATATTTCATAATGAAAGATAAATTGAAAATTATTACAAGCTTATTAATATATTAAGTCCTAAAAATATATAAATTTGAATGCATGAAGGCATGACTTATTCGAAATTTTTGCGCTTATGTGAGGGTGATTATGGGCAGTTAAGACAAAAGGGGAGCAAAGTAAGAGACTTTAGGGAGGGAAATAACTTAAATGCACCTCTTTTATAATTAATTTTTTTTTTAAGGGGGGACAATTCCCCCTTACACTTATATGGTTCCGCCCCTGCTTTTTTTCAATATTACTCATATAACCCTTCCACCATCTCTACAAGAGAATGTCAATCAAGCTATTGCCTTCATTATCAAGTTTTTTGGAAATGTTCATGTAAAGGAGACTAAGGGTTTGTATCAAGATGAGTTGAGAAAGGGTTCATTTTAGAAGATTATCAAACATTGTCTTTGATGAAATAGTTGACATTGATAATTAGTAGAATAGCACAATCACATGTTGAGAGATCAAAACATTTTTAAACTAACAATTTAATAAAATAGTTTGACATATATGATTCTATAGAAATAAAATATTATAAATTTAAATTTAATTTTTAAAAATGAGATTTATATATATATATATATATATAATTAGAAAAATATATTGGTGATATTATTAGGTCCATATAGACCCAATTTCTCTGAGAGTTTGTTTGAGATGGTTGCAACTATTGTAAAAGTGATTGTAAAGTTATTATGAAGAAATCACTTTTTAAAAAGTTGAAGTAGAAAGCACTTTTATTGCACAAAAATTTATTAAAAATAGTAACTAAATAAAAATTATGATTGCAATCTAAAAAATAAAGCAGTTAAAAAATTATTCCAAACAAAATCCGAATTAATTCCATATTAAAATTCTTACATCATTTAGATTTCAATAATGAAGTGGGTGGGCTAGATTTGTTTTATTGTTTGTCTTCTTTTTTTTTTTTTGGTTGAAATTTAAGGAACTAGCCCACTTTTCATTTCATGTAAAAGAAGCTACAAAGAACAATGTACAACTCAAGAAGTATAATAGTAACTATAGAGCTGTAAACATAAACTGGAATACTCACAATGGGTAAAAGATAGAAACAAAAATAAGCAAAACATAAAACAAAGGCAACACAAATGAAGAAACAAGTGCTAACGAAGGACTGGATTAAGGGTGTAAACGAGTCGAGTTGAGTCGAGTTTTAACACTAACGAGCTCAGCTGGTTAGCCAGAAAGCGAGCTCGAGTCAATCTCAAAAAACGAGCTCAAACTTGAGCTCGTCCCATTAAAATAGAGTTCAAGCCGGCTCGCGAGCCGTTCACTGGACTCATATGGCAGCCAAAACTCGCCCAACCATAAAAAAAACAAGGAACTCCTCCCAGTCTTTGGAATAGTTTTAAAAAAAATACTTTCTTCAAAACAACTTTATAATCACCTCTATAAAAAATTATAGCCGTCTTAAACGGACCTGAATCACTCAACTATTACTCTAAACATACAAAATAAAATTCAATGTGAAATAAGTATATATGGTCAATCAGGAAGGGATATAAATTCAATACATTACATGAAGAAGTGGATAGCAATAGAGTTCTGCAGACATCAAAGATAAAAAAGAAAAATATATATATGTATAAGAAGAAAGTGTGGTAACAACCAACTTTGAATCTCTTCAATGACTGCAAAAGATTGGACTCTGATGATCAAATAAAGGAGAAAGATTTGACAATTAAAAGAACTCCATGGACTTGTTCAATGGGGTTCTCTAAGAATAATTTAGAGTGCATAAAGGAAAATAGCACTAGACCTTTTTGTCTTTCTGGTCAATCTGAAGTGTGGGCATCGTCTATTCTTGAAGGTTATCACATTCGATTCAAGGAGATGAAAATTGTACCTTGCTTAGAAGTCAAACTACGAATATGCAGACTGAAAACCCAGCTTTTCACAGCACACAATCTTATTATCTTTCCCTTTTATCACTGGAGCCCCTGTTTGTGATTACATAGTGAATGGTGGTTGAAACTTGCATGTCTTATTATCAGTATAATAGAAATTCTATCTCTAACATCCTCATTGGCTCTAGTAATGTTGAGGTTGTAGATTGGGGTGCGATCTCCATTCCTAGAATTCAAAATTTTTTTAGTAGTTCGAAAAAAAGTAGCTGCCAATCAAAAATTATAGCTGCAATCTGAAAAGATTCTTTACTATTTTGTAAAATTATCATAGAGAAAAGAATATATTAAAGCTGCTGTAGAAAGTAATTTTTAGCATAAAAAATTTATAAAACAACAAAAATAGTGACTAAATAAACATTACAAGTGTTATCTCAAAAGTAAAATAATAAGAAAGGTTACCCAAACGAAGGCCTTCGTCTGAGACGTCTTTCTTACTGTTTTCTAAAACAATTTTTTAGTCAAAATTTCTTTAATTAGAAATTTTATACTGAATTGATTTAGAAAATAATAATAAATTTGTCCCAAACCAAATCTTAATTTATTAGTATTTTTCTACATAATAAAGTACTAATGAAATGAAAAAAAAAAAGATATTTTCAAAACAACCCTTTTCTTGGGAACTTAGGCATCTATTTCAATTTTCAAATAGATAGGCATCTTTACCATAATACAAAACTTCATTACTTAAAATCAAACAAGGTGTAACGGTCTGTATCCCACAACAATTATTCCATCCAAATCCTCAACAATTGATATATTGCACGCGAAGCCTATAATAGTTACATTTTACATAAAACTCTTTGATTTTGCAAAAAAAAATGATAAAAGCAATCCATGCTTGCATCCCTCCATCCATCCGCCCGCAGATTCACACGACCTTCACAGCTGTACGGCGCAGATCGAATGTTAATAAAGAGGCCCACGGCCGCGGCTGCCGAGGGGCACCACCGATGGCATCCCTCGCCGCCGCCGCCACCGGCATCGGTGGCGAAAGCCTTTCGCACGTGTGAAACCACTTCGAGAGCATGTATTCTTGTTTCCTCCAAGGTGCCATGTGCATTTTGTTCTCCTTCAGACAACGCTTGGCCGCCCGGCACATTATTTTGACTACCGATTTAAGCTTTTCTGTTTTTCCGACGAACATCTCCGGCAGCCGCGCCACCAGGGAGTTGTACTCCGGGCTGGCTCTCGCCATCTCGAATTCGGCTTTAAAGTTCGGCTCGATTACTATTCGGGTCGGGTCTTTCAGCCCGCTTCTCGACCCGATGAGCACGTCAACGTAGCTGTGTTCCCCTGCATTTATTTATTACCCACCTTTCATTATTAGTTGAATTTGCAATAAAAATTGAAATTTTTTGGAAATTTTCAAATTAAGTGGTCTGATTAATGTAATGCATGCAGCTGTTTTTTTTTAAGAAATTATAAAATATTTATTTAAAATTTTTCAAGTTATGAAAAATTTAAATAAAATGGTACATATTTTTATTAGTTAGTTTTAAAAATTTAAAATTTTTATCGCATAAATCTAAGATAAACACTCATAAAATTAAGATAATTTTAATTTACAACAAGTAGAAATGCAATTTTTTAATATTTATTAATGCAAATTTGATCCAAAATTATTTTGAGATGAGTATAATATATGATCAATAAATTAAAATAAAATTAAATTGTATTTCATGGCTATAAATTAATTATAAATAAATTTTGAATATGATTTTTTATTCAATTATTTAATTTTTTTTATATAAAAATTTTAATGAACTTGACCAAGTGGTTAACTACCACGTTGACTCTGATCCTTTACATTTCTCCAACGTTATCTCCTATTTGTTTGATTTGGGAAAGCATACAATTAACTTATCTGTAACTTTGATTACATTTGTGCTAAGGATTATTATTTATTTTAAATGACCAAATAAAAAATTCCTAAACTTATCTTCTAATTAAATTTCTTTTAGATATAAATATAATTATGTAGTAGATCTGATAAGATCTTTAACCTACCTATCTGCATTCATTTTTTAATCCTTCAGGTCCTACCAAAGATTAAGATTTTATTTGGGACAATTTTTTTGCTACTTTATTAAATTAATTTTTCGTACAAAAATTTTTAATTTAAGAAATTTTTATATTAGAAATATGTTTTAGAAAGTAGCAACGAAACTGTCCCAAACAAATTAAGGCTTCGTTTGGGACGACTTTCTTACTGCTTCTTAAAGCAGCTTTCTAGTACAAATATTAAAACTTTTGTACTAAAAACGGCTTTAAGAAATAATAAGAAAGCTGTCTCAAACGAAGCCTAAGGTTTTGTTTGGGACGGCTTTTTTTCTGCTTCATAAAGCAATTTCTTAGTACAAAAATTAAAATTTTTTATACTAAGAAGCTACTTTAAGAAGCAATAAAAAAGCCGTCCCAAATGAAGCCTAAGGGTGCGTTTGGGACGACGGTACTGCTGCTTTACTTTATAAAAAGTCATTAAATCATTGTTTGGGACATTGCGGCCAACTTTATGTACAACAACTTTACAACCTACTTTATCGACAGCTGCAGCCGTCCCAAACGCACCCTAAGTCTAAGATTTTATTTGGATGGCTTTCTTACTATTTGAAGCAATTTTTTAGTAAAAAATTTAAAAAAATTATAAAAAAACTGTTTTAAAAAGCAGAAGAAAGTTATCCAACTAAAAGCTAAAACTTTGTATAAAATAATGATTAATGGGGTGTGATATTTGGGCTAAGGCATTATCACTCGATATTATTTTTTAACAAGTTGATTGCTATGCAATTAATTGAATAATTGTGAATTTATGTAGATTGATCACCAAAAGGCCAAAAGGAAAGGAAGATATTTTAAAAAGATAACTATTTTCAATTCAAAACTTCTGCAATAAGAAAATTTTTAATTGAAATAATAACATTTTCAGCAATTTAAGAGATATATAAATATATTATAAATTTTCTATTATTGAATTTCTGTCATTCAAATAAAACCTATAAATTTGTTTAAAAATTATAAGTTCATTAAAAAAATTAGATAATATTAGTCTGATTATAATAAATATTTAAATTATTGAATTTTTTTATATAAATATAATACATAAAAAATCAATTAAATTTATAAAATATTCATATAAAACTAAAATTACCTGTTTTTAATTTTTTATCAGATATCTTAACACAATATTTTTATTATTTCACATTAAACTATAGATAGGATAAAGTATATTCTAAATCACCTGAAGGAATATCCGGTGATCGTTGCCACTTAGACCTACAGACCGCGCTGTCATAGCCCTTCTCCCGGAGCCTCTCAGCAATTCCCCTCAGCACGTAACCGCGGCTACCCTCGTTAGCGCCGCCGCCGGCAGAGGCAGCGGTGGCGAAACCACCGCAGGAGAAATCACAGAAGGCGGCGCCTTCTTCCCTCAGTTTTCTTGCCGCCTCCTCCACGTTTCCTCGAATCCTCGTTTCCGTTGACCCGGTTCTCATCAGCGCCTCCTATACCACAAATCCCATCCATCAAAATCGCTCTTTTCTAACAAAGAATTAAAATTTTCAAAAATAATTTGGGAACTTACTTGGAGGAGCTGATCTTGAGATTCCCAAAACGCCCTGGCCTCAGCGGCGCCTCCACCGGACTCCGCTCCATCCCTTTCCCCGGCGCTAATCCAACCGTCGTCGCTTCCTGAACTTCCGGCGGCCCATTCCTCCTCGAAGAACCCCAAGACCATATCCGCTAGGCTCTCCGCCATCTCTTCTTCTCCCTCTGTCTCTGCTGTCTCCGGCGAGTTCGAAGGGCTACGGTGCGAGCCTTATATTATATGCGGCAAACTGGTTGGCGGGGTGGGGCCCGCGTGCCGAGTGGATATGCTTAGGGAATGGGACAAATTGGTGGGGCCCGTGGTGGTCTCTGGATGAACGTGGACGCGGCGAACGAGAGAGGGAACGGAGAGGGGCTTGGCGGTTCGGATTGGGTCCCACAACCAGCGAGGATCCACGTCTGCTTTGATCGCCGCAGAGCATTATTACTGTGGGCCCATTCTCTTATCGGGTTTATCCGGTTTACGAACCATTGGATTCCCATCGCATTAGCAGATGGAACTTTCAAATTATTATTTAGTTATTTTAACACTTTAATATCTTTATTTTAATATTTAACCCCTAAAACTTATTATTTACTCATATAACACTAATCGATGCCCTTTTTATTAGTAAAATCCTATCATAACTTTTTCAACTGTTATTCATCTTTGATAGTTTCGATGCCGCACATATCGTCAATCCTATCGATGGAACTTTTATTTGGTCTGGTGAACGGACGTAGAGCTACGTTTGGCCGGCACTGAGTTCGCGCCACGTAACGGCACAAAACCGCGGACCCAACCCGGCGAATAGTGGGTATGTCGCACGTGCATTTTTCAAATCCATGACAACCCGGTATTGCTCGATATTGATAGGCATTTGTCGATTTTGCTCGGCAATAACGAGAAATAACATTATGTGAAGATAAATACCGAAAAAAACTCGGTATTGCTCAGTATTGGTCTTCACAGAGAGGTATTCCTCGTTATTGTCAAGCAATACCGAGTAATACCTAGCAATACGCGAACATAGCATTCCCGGGTTCCGGTCCGGGTAAAGTCGTCGGGCCGCGCGGTAAAGAGTAAGAGCACGTGGCGCGATCTCAGTGTTGACCAAAAGTAGAGCTACGTCCGGTCACCGGACCTAATAATTTTTCCTATCGATGACCTTTTCAACAAAGTACTATTGCGGCAACTACTTTTACTATTTTTAAATATAATATAAATTTTTTCTCACTTGTTGCAATGCATCATTGCAAACCACCCACTGTCACTCATCACCGCCATCAGCTACTCACTCGCTCGCTACTGTCATCATCGTCATAAGCTTGTATGATCAAGCTTACATTGATTTTATTTTGCTTCAAAACACATACAAAAAGTTCGTCTTCTCGATCGATTGATGATTCAATAAAATTTTGAATAATTTCAACATAAAAACTCTATAAGATATGCATTTGATTGGTGTAATTAGGTGAGATGTTGAATTTGAGATCCATCTATGTCATGAACATGCTTGATAGTGATATTTTTGGGACCACCTAAAACACATTTAATTCATGCTATTCATTTAAATAAAATAAGCAAAATCGATTAAAAAAATAATTGTCCAATGATCAATAAGTTGGGCATAATTTTTTCACAATTAAATATGCTAAAATCTAAATATTATAAGAAAACTATTTTATATAAATAATTTTTATTTTAAAGATTCATTCGAGATGCTTGCAACTGTTTTTGTTATAATTTTCTTATAAGAAATGCATAATTTTCTTATATCTTTCACGTTCCAACAAATTTAAATATGAAATATTTTTCATCCCAAAAATTTATTGATCAGAATTATTGCAACAATGGCCATTAAAGGCGATCAAATAATTTAAATAAATAGATTATTATAAAGTTAATACATATTTGATAAACTAATTGTCTTAGGTTTCATTTGGATAACTTTCTTACTATTTTTTCAAAGCAGCTTTTAAGTATACAAATTTTTAGATCAAGAAATTTGTATACTAAAAATTTGCTATTGAAATTAGTAAAAAAGATGTCTCAAATGAATCTTTAATAGATCATCTAAAAAAATACTTTTCTAAAAAAATGATCTAAATTATCATTTTAAGAAATTTATTTTCGGGTGATTTTTAAATGATCCTCAAATCTTGTAAACATATGGCGATTGGATGCTACACAAAAAGCTATAAAATTTCGACACTTTGTTGGTTGGAATCACCAACTCATAGGACTAAGTCAATCGCTTCATAGAAAAAGTTGCCGACTTACTAGAAATCATCGACTTATATGAGGAAGTCGTTGATCCGGATGAAGTTGTCAACTCGCGTGAGAAAGATGTCAACAAAATCTAACTCTTGACTCCCTTATGAGTTTAAATCATATATAATGAGCTAAAAAATTCATCAGATCATTAAATCCAACAGAAAGTATGTCGTTAGTCAGTTTATAACAGTTGTAGTCAATATGATCGTGAATCTGTGCAGAAACAGTAAAATGCATGTATGAGATGTAAAATTTGTAAAGTAGTAGAACAGTACGATATAGATGATAGTATAGTACGGTGCATAAACAATAAAATCTATAGGTCAATAAACCGGTATGAATGTCGAATCAATAAATCTTTAAATAATCTTTCTTAAATCATACGTCTTAGCAGTCTTATTAAAACATAATGTTGTGTCAGCAACTTCTAGTACCCCTGCCCTCTCAGGCCCAATGCCGCGACGTTCAAATATTTTTATTACATAATTTTACTTCGTCAAAATAGGGAGTAATTATTACGTCCGGACAAAAAATTAAAAATCCGGACATATACCGAGTGCTCAATACCGAATTTTAGGTGATATGGCGCCTTATTATTGGTCTCTGGACGCGTCAGGTGACCTGACGTAATAATTGCTCCCAAAATAGGGTACGTGGAATATGGACCATGTACTGGCCAAATTGTGGAGCGGTCGGACCAAACCGGAAAATTGCTATGTTTAATATAATATCTAGGTGGACCCACCCCCAAGTAATCAAGAACCAACAAGACGACAAAGGAATTGTGCTCTATTTAACCAACGGATGAGATCCACGTATTTTGTGGTCCCATTCCTATTCAGCAGCCCGGATATGAATCATGTCACCATTTTTCTAATGGGGAATTTACATACATACCACTTTATTTCATATTATTATATATCTAATACCTAAATTAATATTAATATTATATATCTATCACCTATAAAACAAATATGAATGCATGAAATAAAATATTAAAATTTATAGGGTGATATCTATGTATGTAAATCCCCCTTTTTATATATTATTAATAAAACACAAGTACTTATATATATATATATATATATATTATGAATTTGTAATAGACTCGCATTAAGATTTCATTTGAGATAATTTTTTTATGACTTGTAAAACAGTTATAGAGAAATTATTTTTTTAAAACACTTGCAAAAAGTAGTTTTTCAGTCAAAAAAAATTTTGGAAGCACTGAAAAAACAGTGACAAAATATAGGCTTCGTTTGGGTTGGCTATCTGATTGCTTCTTAAAGCAGATTTTTAGAAAACTACTTTAAGAAACAGTTAGAAAGTTATCCCAAACGAAACCATAATTTATTATTAAGATTTGAAAAGCAGAATAATAAAAAAATTGTCTCAAATAAAACATAAGTTTTATATAAGTATTCATTAGGCTGATAAAATTTAGCATTTTAAACAATTGGAATAAATGAAAGAAGTTATTGCTTGCGATAGATTAGAGATAAAGAGAGAGATGTCATAGACATCACAATTGCAGCACGCAACAAATGCATATGACCATTTAAGCTCTATTTATTGTCCAAAACTTAGGCACATGTCCATAATTAAATGGCATGGGAAACTAAGGCTTCGTTTGGAACGGCTTTCTTACTGCTTCGTAAAGCGGCTTTATAGTACAAAAATTAAAAAAAAAATTGTACTATAAAGCCGCTTTAAAAAGCAAGAAAAAAACCATCCCAAACAAAGCCTAAAATGAGACTGTGAAAAAGCCTGGAGAAAATTAAGGTGCCACTCAACTAACCAAAGGAGCAATGTCAAGTTTGAGGTTTCGATTGAGACAGCTTTCTTATTGCTTTCAAAAGCAGCTTTTTAGGACAAACTTAAATTTTTTGTGCTATAAAGCTGTTTTAAAAGCAATAAAAAAAGCTATTCCAAATGAAGCTTGAGTCAAGTTTTTTGGAGAAGCATAAAATGATCTTAAGTAAGTGATCTAAAAAAAAGCTTACGTACAAATTAAAAAAAAAAGATATATGATGATATCTTATGCTTTGTTATTTTTTATTGTTTCTTAAAACAAAATTTTAGTAAGTTAAAACTCTATTTTAAGAAACAATAAAAGAGTCATCTCAAACGAAGCCTTAGTCACACATCGCACACTTGATTTGCTAGTAGAAAAAAAATAAGAAAAACACATTATCTCTATCATATTTCTGTAGCTTATTTATTTCTATTATTGTCACTCATATAATAAGCCTTTATTTCAATTACTCTCATATCATTTGAGTAAAAATATTTATTTTAGTGTCAAACCTCTAAAGTGACACCCAAAACTCTACGTACTTCTTTGCCATTCATGCAAATGGGTACTCCATAAATTTTTGCGGACTTCTGGGCAAATTAAAAATAAAAACTCACACACACATCATATATACAAGCTTAAAACATAATATCTTTTAGTTGGGAGAGATTATTACTTGTGAACGATCGACGGACGCACCGAAAGGCCAATCAAGAGACATCACGTCACACAATGCATTGTGCATTGAGTGAAAGACAAAGAAAATGTGAAAAAATCGTGACAATATCTTGTTGATAATTGTATTCATAAGATCAACAATGTGTGAACGAGGAAGAAAAGGAACTGGAAATGACAACGAGATATTGCTAATGAAGTACAATAGGACTAGTGGGGGTACGAGTAAAAGAGAAAGAGTTTAATGATGATATTATAATAGAGAGAGCGATGAAGGTGTTATTAGAGTCAGGAGCTTTGGCCGAATAAGTACCAGTTCGCCGGGTTGGAATGTGACATGGCGTCGTCGAACATCAGCTGCCTTCTTATAAGAAGAGTTAGACGAAATGAGCTTCGTACGCACTTCGTCGAGAACGGCCTGGCACTGATCTGTCAAAGCAGTAGCAGCTTTATTAGCACATTTCGGTAAAACTGCAATATCAAAGAGGTGATTAGGAGCCTTCGTGTAGACGATGGCGAAGGGACTTCGCCCGGTATAACGGTTAGGCATTGAATTGAATGCAAATTCCGCCTGATTGAGTGCATTCTCCCATTGTTTCGGCTGATTTTGTACCAAGCATCTAAGCATATTGCCCAAAGTGCGATTAATGACTTCGGTTTGTCCGTCAGATTGTGGGTGGTAGGCAGAGCTCAAATTGAGAGAGGTATGGAGACGTTTCCACAATTCGCGCCAAAAGTGGCTTACAAACTTAACGTCGCGATCGGACGTTATGCTCCGTGGCAAGCCATGTAGCCGAACTACCTCATTGAAGAATAATCGAGCTATGTTGACGGCATCGAGGGTCTTCTTACAAGCAACAAAGTGTGCCATTTTTGAGAACCGGTCAACAACGACCATTATAGAATCAGCTCCACGTTGTGTCCGCGGTAAACCCAAAACAAAATCGATACTGATGTCTTCCCAAATCGAATCCGGAACGGGGAGGGGCGTATAAAGCCCTGTGTTTTGCTTGGTACCTTTAAATTCTTGGCAAATGGCACATCGCTCAATGAATCGGGAGACATCGCGGTGCAGTTTTGGCCAGAAAAAACGAGCTTTCAGCTGCTGGATCGTCTTTTCCCTGCCTAGGTGTGCTGCAAGCCCACCGGCATGGGCTTCTTTTACTAGCTGCTGCCGATACGAAGAGTCTGGAATACACAATGCATTACCCTTAAATAAATATCCATGGCGGAGTGAGTACTCTGTAACAGGTTGCATCGCAATACATTGACGCCAAATGTCTGCAAAATCGTGATCGTCGGCATAAAGCTCTTGGAGGCAATCTAGTCCTGTAATTTCGGTTTGTAATTGCGTTACTAGAGCTGTCCGCCTACTCAGTGCATCAGCCACCCTGTTTTGATTGCCGGATTTATGCTTAAGGACGAAAGTAAATTTCTGAAGGAAAAGAATCCACCGAGCGTGCATTCGGTTTATAGTTCTCTGGCTATTTAAGAACTGTAGAGCCTTGTGGTCGCTACTCAAGACGAAGTCCTGATGTAACAAATAGTGCTCCCAATGTTTCAGAGCTCGCACCACCGCGTAAAGCTCTTGCTCATATACCGTCCATTTCTGCCTTGCAGTACTAAGTTTTTCACTAAAAAACTCTACTGGCCGATCGGATTGAGACAATACTGCACCGATGCCTACCGTAGACGCGTCTGTGTCGACTTGAAAAGGTAAGTCGAAATTGGGCAGAATCAGGACAGGAGCATCACATAAAGATTGTTTGATTGTATCCCAACTCCGTTGGCATTCTTCGGTCCACGAGAAGTGCTTAGATTTCAAACAGTCTGTAATCGGAGCCATGATGATGCTGAATCCCCGAATAAAACGTCTATAGAAGTTTGCAAGACCGTGGAAGCTTCGGACGTCGAACAAACTGCGGGGAATAGGCCAGTCGCGGATTGCAGCGATCTTGCTGGGGTCGGTAGATACCCCGTCCGCAGAGACAATGAAACCCAAGAAGTAGACTTTGGTCATTGCAAACTCACACTTGGATGCATTTAAATACAGTTGGTGAGTCCTAAGTGTCTGTAACACCTTGACAAGGTGTTGAATATGATCTTCGAACGATGGGCTGTAAATCAAGATATCATCGAAATAAACAACACAAAAACGGTTAAGATGATCCTTGAGTACCTCGTTCATTAACCGCATGAAAGTTGCTGGTGCATTGCAGAGTCCAAAAGGCATGACGCGCCACTCGAACAATCCTTGTTTGGTTTTGAAGGCGGTCTTCCACTCGTCACCAGGACGAATTTGTATCTGATGGTATCCACTGCGTGCTGGAGAAGGCTCTGATACCAGTTGGTGTGGAACCGGAGAGTTCACCGGAATCTGCACTGAAAACCACAGCACAATACACAAAAGCAATGGAACAGTAACTTGATAATTTGATAACAGTAAAGCTCGAACAAACATGAACCAAACTTGAACAAGCTGATATTAAATGAACACAAACATGAACACTGAGATACTCGGCTCGGCTTGGTTCGTTTGCAGCCCTATTAAGAAGCATTAAAAAAATTATCTCAAATGAAACCTGAATGAAACTGCCTGAGCCACACAGGAGAGCCAATTGTATTTCGACCGGACAATAGTTAGATAGAGTAATCAGAAGACATAATGGGTCATCCCTTACCTGTCAATGGTTCTTAGCCCTCCTCTTGGCTCAACTCTACAAGTAGGATTTTGAAATCCTTGGCTGAAATATTAGTATTTTAAAAACTTTTAAGATGGGCTTACCAACTTTCTTTCTTTCCCGGAGAGGAGCTATCGTTGGTCTTCCCGCCAATGGTAGCCATCATTGGAGGAATGCTAACGAAGAAGCTAGAGCTCCTCCTCCACCCCAACCTGTCCATCTCACTCACTGCCTTCGTTTCTTCCTCCGAGATCAAAGCCACTCACGCACACTTCATCGTCACCGGTCGCACCACCAACACCTTCGCCACCTCCCGCCTCCTCGCCGCCGCCGCAATCCCTTTTACCAGAGACCTCAAGCACGTTCGCTCCCTCTTCGTCTCCCTCCCATCACCCACACTCTTCTCCTACAACACGATGATCCGCGCTTCTTCCCAAAGCCCAGAACCTATCCATTCCCTCCACCTCTACCTCCACATGCTGCGCTCCGGCCTCTCGCCTAACCACCTCACTCTCCCATTCCTCCTCCGCTCCTGCGCCTCCCTTCGCCTTCTCAACCCCGGCACTTCCCTACACTGCCACGCAACAAAGCTCGGCCTCGACGGCGACATCTTTGTCATCAACAACACCATCACCATGTACTCATCTCTCCCTGACATGGCTTCAGCCCAAAGGATTTTCGATGAACATATCGAAACCACCGACGTCGTCTCCTGGACGGCTCTAATCACCGGATACTCCAACGCCGGAGCAATTGACGCCGCGCGATCACTCTTCAACCTTTCCCCGAGCCGGAATCTCGTGACGTATAACGCAATGCTGGCCGGCTACGCGCGGGCTGGTCGAACACCAGATGCACGCCACCTATTCGACGAAATGACCGAACGAAACGCCGCCTCCTGGAGCTCCTTGATTTCAGGCTTCGTCCAGGCTGGCCTCAACAAGACGGCGCTCGCCGTCTTTCACAAGATGGCGCGGCAAGGCGTCGAACCCAACGAGCCTCTGCTCGTAAGCGCCGTATCGGCTTGCTCACAACTCCGAGCACTGGAGCATGGCCGTAGCGTCCACCGCTACATAGAAACCCTAGGCATCCATACCGGCATCATCCTCGGCTCCGCCTTAGTCGACATGTACGGCAAATGCGGCGGAATCAAAGAAGCCATACAAGTCTTCAACACAATGCCGGAGAGAAACATCTATACCTGGAACTCAATACTCTATGGTCTCGCCATGAACGGCGCCGGAAGCCAGGTTTTAACGCTCTTCTACAAAATGAGGCTCGCCGGAGTATTACCTAACTCCATAACATTCATTGATCTGCTCAGCGCTTGCAGCCATAACGGGCTTGTGGAGGAAGGCCGAATGCTGTTCGACGAAATGACAAGGGTGTATAACATAATACCTGAAGAGGAGCATTATGGATGCATGGTGGATTTGTTGGGCCGTGCTGGATTGATCAAAGAGGCTCTGGTTTTCATTGAGAAGATGCCGATTGAGCCGCATCCGGGAGTGTGGGGAGCCCTGGCTGGAGCTTGTAGGATCCATGACGAGATGGAGCTTGGTGAAGAAATTAGCAGATGGTTGATCGAGCTTGAGCCATGCCATGGTGGAAGATACATCCATCTGTCTAATATATATGGGGATGGGAGAAGGTGGAACGAGATGGCAGTGGTGAGGAGGCTATTGAAGGAAAGACAGGCGGTGAAGCCTCCTGGAAGTAGCTCAGTTGATGCACAAGTTAATTTTTTAAGTATATGATCCTTGATTTTTTTAAATAGCATTTATATACATAGCATTCAAGGTATGCTTTTTTACATAACAAGGGCATCGCCAACTGAACATCATTCCTCAGTTTGCAGCTCTAAGAGCATCTCCATCGGAGAACTCCATTTTTCACGGCAAAATAATGCAAAACTCCAAAATGCTGTGATGCTGCTCCAATCGAACGTCATTTTATATGTTTATGGGAAGGTAACGATCCTTCTCCCTTTCGCGCATTTTTTCGGTTGAGAGCTGAAAATGGCGTGGGTGAACAGTGCGACGCCAATATTGGAGTCGCACTGTTCATTCTCAAGTAAATGGCGAAAAATTTGGCATTCGGATGGAGCGACCGAACCACGTCATACGCTCGTTTGGCGTTCGGTTGGAGATGACCTAATAAGCACCCACCCAAACGGCAGATAGAAACGCATTTTTGTGTTTTGTCTCAATATGAACAGCACTATTCAAAACGTCATTTGCCCGTTTGCCACTTCACAACATAAATGAGAAAGAATATACTCTTTTTTTAAAAAAAAGAAATGTAGTTCCCTTAGATTTGAACGTTGCTTTATTTTGAAGTGAAAAATTAAGTTTTTTCTATTGGAGATATCCTAAGTAGCTAATTTTTTGCATTTATTTGCATAACATCTAAAACTTCAAATAATATTAAAAATAATACTCTTCTCATCCTCTTTGTTACCGAACTTTTATTTTATTCAGTGAACGTACGCTACTCTACGTTCGGTTCTAGGCAAAAATAAGCGCAATACCGAGTACCGAGTTGTACCGGGTATTGCGCTGTTTTGGTCTAAAACCGAACGTAGAGGAGCGTACGTTCACTGGATGTAATAAAAGTTCCTTTGTTACCAGTCTGTTGTCACCGCCGATCATGTCACCCTTTGCGGGTTCATATGCTTGAACCCTCTTCTCCAACCTTATCTTGATGCTAATCTTAAGATTTTTGTTTTGTTGATTTTTCAACATGATGTTATTTTCTTCGACTTGTAATTGATTGTGCAATGTGCAAATACATTAATCTGTTTGTGATTGTGAATCACACTCTTAACATCAGAGAATTGTACAATTTTTTCTCCTAAGAACCTAAGCATTTGTAAATGTTATATTAGAGTATCATTCATGAAATTGAATCCAATCTAATATGTAATGCATATTGACCCTTGAAGGGAAATTTTCATTTTCTATTTATTATGTTTGTGTGCTAAGAAAAAGACATTTGAGATTCAACCACTTCAAATTATGAATGTGGCGTGTATATATATATGACTTGTGCGCATGACAACCTCCTTCTGCCTCTTAAGGCTCAACTCGACCAACTTAGCAAGGTCAAAATCGTCCATCTTGAGGGAGAGTCATAATTACAAAAGGAAGGAGGAGGTAATGTAGCAACATTGCACCCTCAAGTAATCCACTCGGCAACCACCGTTATCATCATCCCAACTATATGAAACACACACAACTCAAAAGTTAAATTTATGATCTCTCATATTCAAATAATCCTTGACCCTATCCACTATTGTTTAGTAAATCATTCATATACAAAAGCCCAATCGAGAAATTATTCTGTACGCAAACTAGATATAGAGAACTGTTCGATTTTATCTCTGTGAATAGTAAAAATTGCAGATTAGTGCGTTGCTGCGTTTTTACTGTTCACCGAGACAAACGAATGATTCTTTGTATCTAATCCCAGCACGTAATAATTTTTCCAATGAATCACACTCTACACTTATCCATGAAGGCTCATTAAGAGGACTTGATCAGAGACCAAGAGATATATTATAGATAGATATCCACACAAGTGCTAATTTGTTGAGCCACATATCCATAATAACCTATAATGAGTCATATCATCTGTTATGCATTATACTTTATTTTATTTTTAAGCATAAGCTTTTCTACAACTCTTTTAAGAGACATATTTTAACTCTTTCAAGTCTTGTTAAATCTTCTTGACACTTTAAGACTTAAGATCTCTTATTTTTCAATTCCCTCACTTTTAAGGACCGCAGCTTTTATCTCAAAATTAGTTGCTAGTTAAATAATATGGTATCTACAAACAAATTTAAATCCAACAATACAAAGACCTGTTAGCTTATGAAGTACAAGCGTTTGCTCTAAACTCAAAGCATTGATCAGCATTAACGACGAGGACTTCTTATCAAAAATAATCTAAGCAAAAGAACTCTAAAGTTGGACGTAGAACGGATTAATTTAGAACAATGAGATCCTCCGGATTAAAGCAGATAACAGCATTGATAAAGATTACCGGCAGGCTTGCTGGCACTTCTGGTGCTTGTTTACTATGGCAGTTGCGACAGAAATTAAGATCAACGGTACAAATGGCTCAAAATTGTGAGAGTTGGGGAAGGAGAAGAGGAACTATCCGGAGTTGACAGGCCGCTGTTGTCGTAATGCCACTCATCATGTGAAAAAAGTTCTTTAAAGAAGTTCAAAATTCAGAGGCTGTTAAATATATCATCCAACTGATTTGGTTTTCTGACGAGTGTCTTCCTGCAAAAACAAGAATTTATTATCTGAAAATTGTTGAAAAGCATATTCATGCAATTTGTTCAGTGAATAGTAGCCGTAAGAGCAATTTTAGAGTTGGAGCTCTTCAGTGCTATCATGGAAGATGAAGTAATCAGGAACAGAAAATCAACAAAAAAAAACTAAAAACATCAAAGGGTTTAGTGCTTATCGAAATCCTAATCCAGTATGTTAGCTTAAATAGCGTACCTTTGACATGAAAATGATACTCTAGCTGGCGAAGTAATTTAGCATGTGGAGTATATTAAGCTGTAAAGCCTAACTTCTATCTAAGTACATAAAACAGTAATCAGTTGTAGTCGGGGTTCAAGGGCAAAGCATTGAGAGGGATCTGTTATTCACGGGATATTTCATTAAGGAGGTTGTGAGATTTTAGATGTATTTTCTGCTGGGTCGATTTTTTTATAAAGAGAAGGGAGTTTGTCTTCAAGCTGTACCTGTGAAATTAAAATTGTAATTCTCCGCAACTAAAATTGTAGTAAAATCTACGGTGACGGTAACAGGATATAGTTATAAATTTAGGCTTCGTTTGGGACGGCTTTCTTACTGCTTCTTAAAGCAGCTTTCTAGTGCAACAAATAAAATTTTTTATACTAGAAAGCAAGCAATTAAAAAGCCGTCCCAAACAAAGCCTTAGTAAACATGGAGATATTTTTTTATTTCTTTTAACCTTTTTTTTATTTCGTTCTTTTGTTCTTATAATGCAACTATGTCATGAAGGATAATCTCAAAGTTGATCAGCAGCCTGTCAACCAAAAAAAGACAGCATGAAAGAAATTCAATGCGCAAAAGAAATTGCATTTAGTAGCCTAGGACAAGTTAGAAAGGCAACAGCAGAGTACAAAATTTTAGTTCTTATAATGCCACTATGCCATGAAGAATAATCTTAAAGTTAATTCAGCAGCCTATAAAAGAATTTCAATGCGCAAAAGAAAGTGCATAAGAAATTCAAAGCACAAAACTCTCACATCAGTGGTGGTAGTCTGCCAAAAGACGAAAACTACTGTAAACTAAAGATAAAAAAACTTTTCAAAAACCAACTTACAGAACTACTTCATCTGCTGCTTGTGGAACATAAATATTGAAGCGAGTACTCATTGGAGGAACATACATCCATCAGATCCTGATGCAATTTTGTGATTGGCTTCTGTAATGATCTTAGGGCAGGAAGCAAGGTTCTGGAATTTTGTCTAATGAAATGTCCATGGCGCTTGCAGAGCTCCTGCACCAAATTACTGATTTAAATAAGTGCAAAGAAGTCAAGTCTAAACTATTTCTCTTAGGTGCCCAAAACAGAATAGCATACCTGGCACCACTGAAGAATAAATTCCAGATGCGGACAGCTTTCAAGGAGATCAGAAAACACTTCCATTAGTCTCTGCAAATATTTGACGGGTATAGATGAAGCAATGGAGGGTATATCTGATGTCTTCACAAAAAATATGCATTTCTTAATTATGGTTTCTTCATTTAGACGAAGACTAAGCAACAATGCCCTCTGATGCTGAGCCTCTGAAAGAGCAGAATCTACAGCCTATGAAAAAGAGCATCACTATATAAGGATTTGCCTGATGAAATCATAATCATAGGTATTCTAGAGCTACGAACAACAATATTTATGCAGCTAAGAAAGACATTGCTTAATTAAGAACATGCTGAGCAGAAAGTCACATACTTCAGCAGCCATTATGATCATAGAATATCTAATAATGGCATTGTGTCGTTGTACGGAGGTTCTGGATTAAAAAACTACTTACAGATATGACTGAACAGTAAGTACATGGCATACTAAATATAAGTAATGGCATGATAACTTAACAAAAGAAAATATAATAAATCACCTATGAAATATAAAAGAAAACAAACTTAACGAGCAAACTAAATGGCAACAAGGGCTTCAAAACGATACAAAGAAACAAACCGGAGCAATTGAGTCATGCTACAATGTCAAGGTAAGTAGTTTTAAAACTCAATAAGCAGGGAAAATTAAGAGCAAGTAATTTTTAAATCATACAAGAAAACTAAGGCTCGGTCCTTTTTTGCTTTCAATGCCCTTTATTTGCCAGAAATATATTCCCTCAATAAAACAACCGGTAAAAGTGTAACAGAGAAGATCAGCAAATATAGTTACATGTAGTCAGAAGAACATCCGGCTAACACAAGCAAATTCTTAATCAAAAACAAAATTCTTGCCAGCATTTAAATTAACTCCCCTAAAATTACAAACATTATATTAAAAATGAACACGAGCAATAACATCACCGTTATTACCGACATACCCAACGACCTATGGCCGGCTTTTTGAAACTTCAATCTCCATTCATTTCTTTCGAGTATTAGTTGATATGGTAAATCATAATTGTGCATATCTATTTGGACTTATTGTTCAAATTATATTTGATCTACACTTTTCTCCTTTCTAATATTTCAATATAAAATTTATGTACTGATATTATCGATGCTTCTTCTATCATTTGTTAAAATCACTAACATCATATTACAAAATAATACATGGAAATTAGCAATCACAAAAGCAGGTAAATCCCACATTGCACCCTTCAACAACTTCATGATGGTTTTAATAACAAATTGAAAGGGCCTCCTGATGATGATCACTTTCTTGCATGATCATATTCTTCTTTAGTGATTAGAAAAATGAGTTTTAGAGAGCAAAAAAAAGCACACTTCAAAACAACGCAGTTCCAAAATGCTTCAAAACATGATCATCAAAGTATATGTAACATGAAACATATGCTTTTTTATGTGGAGCATAAACTTCATATTGGTTATTTCATATCTCCTTTTTCTTTACGTGCTATTATGCTTACTAGAACAACAGCTAGAGAATTCATTTCTAATAAATACGCTAAGAAATTAGATACCATAGCCCCAGTTATTTCTCTTATTGGATCATTGTCAAAAGCTCAATTTTATATTGTTCGGTGAGTCAGTTGGCTCTTTACATGCGTCTTGCATATAGATCACGAAAATTATTCATAGCTCTTTCCAACTATTTATGATAAAACGAGCACAACAACGTGGAATCGACGGAGCTATTAACGGTGACGAATTTGCTAACTATGTATATGATGCCGAAAATAGACTGATTTGATATCACCTTTCAATTCAAATTAGCAAAAGCAATGTCTCCTTGCATAATATAGATTCCAAATCATTAGATTGTAGACATGAAAGAGTAAGAACTCAGCGGTGCCTTACCCCGTTGAGTTCTTACTCTTTAGAGTGCGGCTCAAGAGTTAGTTCGAGAGGAGCTATTAGGCCACTCAAGCAAGGCAACATATTTTACCTATAATCCATCAAAGTGATGGAGACCCTTTTTGTGGTGATAAATGACCTACTTAACCTAGTGGTTAGAGCATTACTTTCATACAGCGGGTGACAAAGGTGGAGTGTTGAAGTCTTTCTAATTTTCTATCGATCGGTCATGTCATATAGGCCTGAGTCAGACAAAATTGCTTAGATTGGAATTATCCAGACCTTCTATATATCAAACTAGAAAACTTATTCTTCTTTTCTTTAGACATATATTGTATTTCATCACATCCTAATAATATTCTTTTTTTCCATCAACCTTACACATTATCACCTATTTATTTAGGTCATTATTTATTTGAGCTATTTGTTGTATTCACTTTTAAAATTTTTCCAAGTACAAGAGTATTTTTTAATAGTCTCCTCTAGTGGGTGACAAAGGTGGAGTGTTGAAGTCTTTCTATCGATCGGTCATGTCATATAGGCCTGAGTCAGACATCAAATTGCTTAGATTGGAATTATCCAGAGGATACCTTCTATATATCAAACTAGAAAACTTATTCTTCTTTTCTATAGACATATCTTGTATTTCATCACATCCTAATTATATTCTTTTTTTCCATCAACCTTACACATTATCACCTATTTATTTAGGTCATTATTTATTTGAGCTATTTGTTGTATTCACTTCTAAATTTTTTCCAAGTACTGGAGTATTTTTTAATAGTCTCCTCTATTTTAATAGTGAAATAGATCCCTAATTTGATGATTTTAACTTTGACTTGACAGCATTTACACTTTACTTGTAACTTATACTCTAAGTTTGCTCCATAATACAGATTTATTGTAATGATGATATTTCAATATAAATATAAGTTACATAACAAACCTTGTATTAATTTGATTATATTTTGTGTGTTACACTAATAAGACTAGTTGAAAATGGTAAAACCTTATATTTAAGTATGGGAATCCTAATTTTAAATATTTATTTAGTTTGATATTATCATAATATATTTTATTATATATATATATATATATAAAAAAGATAAAGTTTATTTTTTAATTCTTATGCTCAATTCTAGATAGGGATTAAATAATTTACTTAACATTTCACTTTTTAAAGCATTGTTCTTTTCAAAAACCTCCTTTGTTTGCAAGCTTCTTCTCATTAAATTCACCATTATAGAAAAAAGGATGAATTGTGCATGGGAAAATGGTGTTCATGGAGGAAGTGATTATGAAACTAGTTCATGAGTATCACTGAGCATGTATAGTCTGACACAAATGTATAATCTGGAGGCTTAGAATCCAACTTTTCCATATACCATACCACTTTGTTTAATAAACACCATGAAATGAGATTCTATAATCCAATGGAGAGGTGGAAATGGTAACAGAAACTTAACCAAGATGTCTATTAAGGAAGCATAGAACAATAATAGAAAGTTTTGGAACATGTATATATGGTGAAGAATTTTACAGCAATAAAAGAATTTGCAGAAAAACATTTTTCTTGAGTTCAGATTCAATGACAGGCTCAGGCTCGATCTCAAATCTAGGACTGATTATTAATAATTAAATATAATATAACTTTATAATCATATTAAAAACCACAAATTAATCACTAATTAGCTTTAATATGTAATTAATGATAACTTGCATAATTACTTTTGCTATTATTAATAGCTATTATAGAAATAATTATCACAATTAAACACAGTTAAACATTAATGACCTAATTATAACTAACTAATCCCTAATTAGGCTAATTAGTTTCTCAAAATCTCAATTAGTCTAATAAATCACATGATAAGTGTATGATTTCTAATGCTCATGATTCCAAGTAATTTTCCAAGTAGCTAAACCTTACTCCGCTTACAGGTCAAAGGCAACACCATTAAGCCACACACCCGAGGGATAATTAAAACAATACTTGCCCTATGAAAAATTCAAAGATTATGTTTTAAATGCATTAATCTATCTTCACAGTAAACTCTTTATTTTAATGAAGCTGATAGGAAATACTTGAGTTCGCAAGTAACCCTAAGGTAATACTTAAGTTAGCAAGCAAATCTAATCAAGATTAGGTCAAAAACAGAGAACAAACTGCTGTCCCAGCAGTTTGACAGCACCTTCGCAGCAGATTTTTGCACCACACAATGGAAATAAGAGAAACAAAGCAAGATCTTCACTAGTAGATGCAAGAAAATAGAGGAAGATACAATGTTCTTCGATTCGAGAGGAAGAACCACTCTCCACAAATCTCTAGCAATCCCTAGAGCCCAAGCACAACGAGAGATCTCAAACTTTCATTCCAAATTCAAGATAATTCCTCATCCCTCATATTCCCCATAATTAACATGAAAGGATAATTAACACTTACCTAAACTACCCTTACATTCAAAATTTTCCGCCCAAATTTGCATTAAGACAAGCAAAGGGCCCACCCCATTGTTCCGCCCCTCCCTGTTCTATTCTTTCGCCGGCAATAGACCTGGACCGGTCCAGGCTGGACCGGTCCAGCCGGCCCAGGAGGGGCCGGCTTCGTAACAGAAGCATTTTATACGGATTATAGTTAGGATTTGGGTTTTGAATTTTTGCATGAGAACCTGGTGGAAGGCTGTGTCCGGCAATAAAATGTTTAGGGTGGGATAGGGGAGTCAAGTGCAGTAGGCAATGGATTTTCTGAAAAGAAAGAGCTTTTAGTGGGTGGGCATTTTAGTGGTTGTGCAAAGTTTATAGCTTGATATGCTGATCTCCCTCACACCAATCACTGCCACAACCACCAACCACCGCCGCCACCCACCGTCAAGCACCACCGCCACTAATGGTCATCAACCACCACCATCTTCGGACTTAACACTGCATTCATTTTACTTAAGTCAAACAAAAATAAATAATCACCTACATTTACTTTTCAGTCATTCAAACATCTTCAAACTATTTCAAATACAATACATTTCTTTTAAACTATATTACTTTTACAGCATTCCTTTCTCAGGTCTATTTCGAATTCGTCCAAATCGGGTAGATTCTAAATACGTGTCATGACTACCCTCTTTGTGACAACAGCAACCTTTGTGACATCAACAATAGACCATGGCAAGGCATCCCTCCGCCTCCGCACCCAACACCAGCAACTTTCACCTCCATCTTCGCCTCCACACGCTATGTCACTGACTTGATTGTTACACACTGTGCATACACTGCTTGCTGGCTCCGCCCTAAATCTATTTTCCCCTATTTTTTATATCTAGATTCATTGTAATTCAAAATAAAGACAAAAAAAATAATCTCTTGAATTTGTTTTTTAGTTAACCATAACTCGAAATAATTCAAATACATTGCATTTGAATTACACAATATTTAAAATGCTTCTAAATTCTAAATACTAGCAAATAGAAAGCGCCTTAAAGGAATTGTTTTTCTATAAATCATAATAGAAATTGCCTCAGTTTAATTTGATGTTTCTGACACTCACTCACTTGGATTTCTATTTACAAATGAAAAAGAAAAACATGTTTATCTAGCTACTGCATGCTTCCTTCTTTTGCCATAGGTTTTTTAGCATACATAATGTGGAGTAGGTTTAAATATCTAATTTCATACTTGCGGGTTATGAATAAAATAGCCAGTCAAATATAATGCACATCACTCTTTAATTGCTAAAAAGTAATGATGCTTCAGTATTCAACATATCTATAGGAAGCTTTTCTTCTTTTTTTAGTTCCATTCAAGTAGAAGATTCTTTTTCTTCCACCAGTTGTACAAACTGACTTATGTAAGTTGGTTCAGTTTAAAAAAACATTGAAAAAATGGAGGTATTATGTAACTGAATGTGAGAAGAAAGTAAGAATTGAATGCATTTTTCCAAATAATGATTCATCTTTTTATTTTTTTTCTATATTGCTTTTCTTTATAGTCTTTCACAACAGAAAACTTATTGTTATAAAATATCGCTTCATATCAGCATAAGAAAGTGTAAATTTGCACAAATCTCTCCAGAACCTTTATTTTAATTGCTCTTAGTCATACACGTACATACATAATGAAGAGAAAGGGAGAGAAAGAAGGAACTAGGTCTATTTTAATTGTAAAATAGGCTTATAACAAAATATGTGGTTATAGCTGAAAAATTCACCTAACTATTGCCAGAGAGATAAATGTATCAGTGTCATGTTCAAAATTATCTTTTAGTAATTTACCTCATTAAATGTTCTAAAATTAAATGAAAAGCATAATTTCCATACCTCAGGAGTTACGTCAATATCAAGGTCAGTCGGATCAAAAATGAATGACTCATCAATAGAGTACATCAGCACACCCTCAGTTGTAGCAGCAGCCCAACTCCTTCCAGTTGGAGAAATTTTCAAACATTTCGTACGAGCAATAGGACAACCAAGATTAGTAATCGCTCCAGGCAAGCCTTGCCCTAAATTTCCTCGCCTTTGTTGATCAATGCCTACCTCCACGTCGCTATTCTCATCATCAATTAAATCTAATGGACCATCATCTGTCATTCTTTTAGAATTCAAAAAATCAAGAACACCATCCAAAGAGAGATTGCGAGTTATTTGAAACCTCCTCAATAGAACCTGGCAAGAATTGAAACGTGAAATCATTGAGTTTTCAATGACGTTGCAAGAATTATTTCAAAAGGACTTAACATATTTGTATTTTAATGAAGATATAGCTTAGTCTTACCTGATCCGCAACATCATACATGCAAATGTACTTGCTACTTCCACCTGCTAAAATATAGCTTCCATCAGCAGAATAGCACAATGTAGTGAAGTACTTTCCTGAAGTTGAATTGGCAGCAGACCTCCTGTCCGTCATGAGACGCCCACCAGCAATGTCCCTTCGACCTTCAATTGTATACATGAGTATTCCATCTAAAGGATCCCAAAAGGATATTTGACCATCCAATGTGCTGCAAGCAAGCTGCTTTCCATCTGGACGATAACTAACTGTGAGAACATCATGATTATGTTGAAAAGTCTCAACTGCACCCTTTCCTTCAAAAACGTCCCAAATTCGAACAGTTTTGTCCCAAGAAGATGAAGCAAGAACACCCTATGTTAATGATAAAATTGAATCTTTTGATCAGAACAAAACAACCATCAAGAGAGGGGTGATTAAGAGCTCGCATTAAAATATTAATGTGCATATAGAACTCCGTAAATGCAGATGAGCTTTGATGCTTCCACTAAACAAATTGGTTCTAACATTCTATCAACAACACCATCATCAACAACATCAAGCCTTTATCCCACTACGTGGAGTCGGCTACATGAATTCTTTTTTCTCCATTGTGTCCGGTTAAGAGTCAAATTCTCATTTAGATCAAATAAAGAAATGTCATTTCTAATATTTTCTAACCAAGTCTTTTTAAGTCTACCTCTACCTTTCTTAACATAGGTTCTAAGTTCTAACATTATATCCATGGCGCAAAAAAAAAAAAATTCCTTTTGTATGATATGCTGCATCCTAAAAGCCTACTACATTTCTCCATTGTTCATCGTGTTCTTAGTTTGATGCACTTTTAATAAGCATATTCACAAACATCATATTGATGTAAAACTATAAATTGACAAACTAAGAAATATAAAGCAATAGCAAATTTTCATAGAAGAAAGCAACTAACTGAGGAAGATTTAGTCCTTGTTTAAATTTGATTATAACGCTTTCCACCGCATACATTTAAGAAGCTCCACGCATGAACATGTGGTCTTAAAAAATTAGGTTCTAATACAAATTTTCTTATTTGCCACCCAATTTAAACTTAACTCACATTATTTAAATTGAAATCTAAAATCTTATTAAGATTTTTTCAAGCTATTAATACCTTCAATTTTAAAAAGTGGAGCTTATGCTGCTAAAATTAATGTTGAAGTCCATGATCTTCTATCTACCACCATAGATGCTAAAAAATGTGATGTCGAGCAAAATAATCATTCCTGAAATCACTATAAGTGCTTCAAGAAATACACATATACTTGGCTTGCTAAAAAAACTACCTCCTGGTGAAAATTTTTAGATCATACAAAAAAAATTAATCAAGATAGAACCTCGTCTTCTTGAATATTACAATAATTTTGACTCTCTGGAGGCAAGTTCTTTAAGGCCCAATGAAGATGGGCAGTACAATGCCCTCAATAAACTAGGGCAATCCCAAATACTATACTCAATTTTTAATCCTACCACATTCAAACCATGCTAGCCACTGATTTCTATGGTATTATAATTCTTATTTCAAGATTACTGTGAAAACTAAGAATTGGAATTATCCTTGCCCACATATATATATATATATATATATATATATATATATTCGGAATGAATTATCCCTTTCATGGGGATATTATTTTAAATTTAAATCTATTTGGATTTATTAATCTAACACTATTTTCCACTTATTGGGATATGAAGCTCAAGTAGTTATGATGTGATACAATCAATGGAATTGCAGGATTTTATTAAGAAATTTGTTTTAGCAATAAAATTATAAGATTAATGTTTCACTGAGTTATGATTTTCAGTTTTCGTAGTTATTGAATTGCTTCTAGCAAGAGGTTACACAATAGATTAACAGAACGATTCAAGACAATAACAAGACGATAGCAAGACAAATATGCAATTAACAATAATCCGGCACTTAACAAATAGAACTTTCACCCTCGAGTTTCCCTTTTGCTCACTCTCTAGAAGTAGGATTAATGGAGGAGTGATGTCAACAATCCAAGTGATGCCACTGAAAAACAGAGGATGCCGGCAGTTTTGATCAACGGAGAGTTGGGCGGAGTTGGAGAGATGGGTGGTCGTCCTGCGATCTTCCACGATCTTATAGGTTGTTGCTCTTCGATGACGTCCGCCAAGGTAAAGAGAATACGCTCCGCATATTCTTCGACGGTGCCTTCGGACCCAAATCCGGGATCGAAGAAAGGTGATTGAATGATGTCGGTTTTCTCTTAAAAATTGTAAATGAATCCGTGATCAACATTCGGATCCGCCATCAATGAGCTTGAGGGTAGGTGAGTGGTGTTCTATGGTGGAGCCGTGATAGGAAATACTTAGATCCAAGTATTCCTATCGCTCCACGTGGAGAAAACAACAAGAAGGTTGCTGTTTTCTACAGGAAATCAGCTCAAAACGTATGAAAACAGTAGAAAATCGTAGGAAAACTGAGAGAAAAATGTTTAATGGACTTATATTCCACTAGTAGATGATCAAAGCAAAAGCAAGATACAATGTTCTTCGATTCGAGAGGAAGAACTCTCCGATCTTCTCCGGCAACGCCAAGAGCCCAAGCAAGAAAACCCTAGATCTCAAATTACATTCAAATTCAAGATAATCCCTTTTCCCTCCTCATCCTCCTAATTAACCATAAAGGATTCATACAAAATACCTAAACAGCCCTTTGCATTCAAAAATTTCCCTCCCACCTAATTAAATCATCCCCAAATGGGGTCCACCATGTCCGCCCGCTCCTCTGGGAGCTTCCGCCTCCGCCTGGTGTAGACCCGGGCTGAACCGGGTCCAGCCGGCCCCTCCTGGGCCGGTTCACGCGTAACAAGCCGCCGATAGGAAGAGGTGGAGAGAGAGAAGTTGGCGGGTAGGAGGAGGGGATAGAGGGAAGCCGACCACTGAGGAGAAGGCGTGGATGTAAGTTAGGTCTAGGATGGTGGGAGAGGAGAGAAAAAAATCTGAAATTTCCTCTCATATTTTGTTTAATAGGTCGTTAGGGAATTTCAAATTTTGAAATTTGAAATTGGGAGGATTAGGAGGGAAGTAGATTTGGGATCTTAATTAATTGGATCCTTAATGAGATACCAATTAATGAAGATTGGTGAGGTGGAGGGGGCTGGCCCTATGAGGGAGTAAGTGGGGGAGATTTATTTACTTAATTAGTGGGGCCAAGTTTCTAAATGTGTAGGAAGAATAAATCTGAATTTAAATTCAAATTTATGGGAGTTAAGGGTTGCCTAATCAAGGTAGAGAATTTTAGGATTAATTTGAATTTAAATTTGAATTTAAATTCTCTCCAATTTGGGTCCACCTAAATTAGGAAGGCATTCAATTGCATTTAATGACACTCTTGGGAGTGCAATGGGGATGAGGGGCTGGTGGTCAAGTGGTGGGAGGTGGTTTGGACGGTGGAGCTTAGAGAAGGAGAGGGGCTGACGAGCTGGGCTGGTAGGGGAAATGGGGGCGGCAACTGGGGGGTTTCGGGATGGGGAAACAGAGGCGGACGGCTGGCAGGGAGGCTGGGATGGAGCCGACGGTGGGGGCAAGAAAAAAAATGGGAATATGGGAAGAAAGGGGAGGGAAATAGGTACGAAAATTGGAAAACTAACCAAGAGCTCTTCAAAGGGTTGTTGGGTATTTCAAGAGCCTCTCCTAGGCTTCCTCACCTTTCAAGAACTCACAAAGAGATCGTAGAACCGCGAACCTTGGAATCATCCAAAGGTTGACGGGTATTGCTTTCACCCACCTAGGGTTTCTTCTCAAGAACTCACTAAGAGATCAAAGAAAGCTGAAATTTTCTTCATAATTCATCATTAGAAAATAATACAAAGACTAGGCCTTCATATATAAGCCTCCAAAGGAAAAATATAAAAGACACAAATGCCCTCATGCTACAACATGACACAAATCCCTCATAGGGGTACAAGAGAAAAACTGAAAAATAATTAAAAGAAATGCACTTAGACATCATAAAAAGAAACTATGAATCGTAATCGTCGATCTACGATTCCGCCGATGGTAAGTATGACGAAATCTCCGGTGGATGTCCTCATCAAATTATCCTCTAGAATTGAATCTAAAGTCAAATCCCTCTTTACTCCCTTTCTCTCTCCTCTACCCTCTTTTGATTTCCTCTCTGTAGGTTGAAAATCTGAGGTCGTAATGCTTCTCCACTCAATTTCACCTCATGGCCAATCTCCACCCTATTCCCTCTAAAGATTTCTTTATCCATACACTTAATCAATCCTATTATCCTCAGGAGTGTGGAATCAAAGAGAAAATAGCCTATAAAAAATAATTAATAGGAGGAAGAAAAAATTTTAAGAGCATTGAAGATTCATCAAGGAGTCGTTATGTTTATTTGCAGCACATTTTAATCCTGACTAAAAAAGAGATTTTTTTTCCCATTGCAAATAACTTGGAAAAAAAATGCAATTATGCTAAAAGTTTTAAAAATCATTACAGTGCATGTTTATTAGAATGAATAGTAAAGGAACAAGTACTTTTCAATTGTAAAAGATAATATTAGAGAAATAACTTCCCAAAAACTATTAAACTGTAGATTATAGTTTCAATCACAATTAACATTTTTGGTATTGCAAAATTGAACCTATCTTTTAAGAAAATTACACTTACCAACAACTAAGTACTTAGGAATATTCGTTTGAGGTGAGCAACCAAAAATTCCATTCCTCCCACTTTAAACTACAAAAGTGGCTTTTGCACATAGCTCAAAAACATTCAAAGGTGCCCCATTTCTACCGCTTACAATTTAAGGTTCAATTACAGAAAGCCAGAAGCGGTCATAGATATTTCAACTTTAAACCCTTGGAACAAAACAAACTTAAAATTTTTAATGACCTTCTTGCTTTCCTATGTGAATCAATGAGTAATGTATTCCAATGACAACCCTTAGAAAAAACCTTATAATTCCCAATTTTAGAACAATTTTAATAAAAATCTTATTGAAAAAAAATTTACAAAATTACATGAATGTATATTTGCATTGCATCTCTACTTGTGTTTTTCCTATGACACACGCATCTATAAGTGTAATGGAATGACAAACCCAGATGTAATACAAATCAACAAATGAAAATGTAGTGATAAATAAAATATGAGCTAATCGTGCAAGTCTTCCTCGAAAAAAAAATGAAGGCATGCAGTTATTTCCAAAAACATCAAACAAAATGTCCACAGTAGTCACAAAATATTTCTTTTGCATGGTAAAGAAAAAGGCAATGCCAAAACTCACATTCGTAGGTGAGAACATTAAACCATGGACAGGCCCCTGATGACCACTGAGAATATCAAGCAAACGACTAGTCTTCATTGACCAAACAAAAATCTGAAATAACATTTTTAAACATTGACAAAGCATTAGTAATACTTAAATGCATAGAAATTAGGTGCCGAAGCACTTACACTGAATAAAATTACCTCAAATGAGTCAATAGTCCCAGCACAAATTACTTCTCCACTTTGATCTACAGCCAAAGAAACAAATTGCCTGGGTGAAGGAGTGGTGAATGTTCTAAAGTTCCGATAGCGAAATAAATCCCACGCTCGAACTGTTCCATCAAGAGAAGCACTAAGAAGACAATGATTATTATTCATAAAACTTAATGCAGTAACTGCATTAGTGTGTTCAGCGAACGTTATGAAACAGAAGCCTGATGAAACTGTCCAAACCTGGAGAAAAGACAAACATAAGCATAAGATATTAGGCAATTGTCAATTGTTAACAAGGTAAAAGTGCTAACAAATATTCAAATACTTCAAATTTCAGATTAACATAACTGTAAAAAGCATTAAAGTATGAATTTCGCATCAGTGAAAAGGGGTCATTATCTTGTGCTATTCACCTTGACTTTGTTATCATCAGCACCGGTGGCCAACATTTGTGAATCAGGCGAGTACGCTAGGCAATTGACATCAAAATAGTGCCCTTGTTGCTTCAGAATATAACTCTCAGAGCGCCATTCCCATACTAGCAGCTGCCCAAGCTTTGCGCAGCCAAATGTTAACCAATTACCAAGCTTGTTAAAGACTGCTGTTGTGATCTTCTCCCTTGATATGGAAAGTAAGTGAATGCAAACAAAATCCGGCATTTGATACAAACCAAAAACCCCGTTGGAAAATCCAACAACCAACATATCAAGCTCCCTATGGTAATCGCAGGTTGTCAATCTTGCAGGAGCTTGCATGAAGAAATCCTTCTTCAATAACTCCCATTTCATTCTATGCAAAGGAATTCCCGATGTATCTGCATCAACATCATCCAAACACTCCCTTTTCCTTTTCCGATCCACAATGGCCGTGCCAATTTCATCCGCAGTGACCTTGTTATTATCATCAGATTCTCCTTCCCAATTCCTTTGTTGAGGAGGATTGCAAATGCTCCCTCCAGCATTATCCTCAGAACTGCTAATTTCATCTAAATTCCACGTGAAAATTGCCCCGTCCCTAGAAATAGTGTAAACTCTACATACTCTATTCGTCTTCTTCTCGGTACCGAAGAAAACTCCGACAACCGGCTCCCTATGGCCCAGAAACAGGAAAGGTCTAGTCCGAACCTTCGTTTTCTTCAGACAGAACAACCGAACCGCCAAATCTTTTGATCCGACGAGAATATAGTCAGAGTTAGGGCTCCAGTCTAGCGAAGTAATTGCAGCGGCACAATCTGAGAATGTGCGAACAAGCTTGAAAGGAAAGAACTCCTTGCGGAAGTTGGGGGATCGCCAGATCTGGAGGAGCTTGCCAAGGCCAACGGCAATGAGTGAGCCATCCGAGCTGAAGCGGAGTGCAGTGACTCGCTTCTTAAAGGTAATATGATGCAGGACCGTTCGGCGTCGAAGATTGACAAAGAGGGCGCGGGATGAATCGTCTACGACGAGAAGGAAATCCCCGTCGGGCGAGACAGCGATGCGAGAGACATTTGACTTGGCCTCAAATGGGAGTGTCAAAGTATGGGACTTAATGAGATCGGTTACGGAAATTCGGTTGCCTACTGGAGAGAGAAGGCTGTCCCCGGATATCACCACGTTGCCGCCACGATAGGCAGCGCCGAGGAGGTTTTGGAAGCGAAAGTTCATATCTGCCAAGTCCCAGGCAACGACTAGCCAATTGGATGGAAATAAGCGAGAAAGAGAGAAGCGCAAAAACACTATGCTGCGGCAAGGAAAAAGGCTAAATCCCGGATTCAGTAAGTCCTCAGCGGATTTACGGTATTTGCCCAAAGAAGCGCGCCAAAGGGAAGAAATAACGAGAAATTCGCAGCGAGCACTCGTTGTGTTTTCCCATCCGACAGGAAGAGCGTCGTCGGAGAACGCGAAGTAGCTTCCTACGGCGCTGTTTGGCAACAGGATTTATGCCGGATTTGAGCAGGATTTATGCTAAATCCTGCCAAACGGGATTTGAGCGCCCCGTAAATCTCACGGCCGAATAAATCCTCCGTTTCCCTCTTTTGCCGTAAATCCCGGATTTACTAAATCATGTGTAGCTCGGCGGATTTGGCCGAAGAAGCGCACGAAAGCCAGCGAGCTCCCGTCGCTGCTTCCGATTAAAATGTCGTAACTTCCGAACCGGCAGGAAGGGACCGTCGTCGAAGGAGCAAATTCGAACGGCAACAAAGGAGCCGAAGAAGCAACTCGTGCAATCTCTACACCTCCTGCGAAGCAACGATGCCGAACAGCATCACCAAAAATCAAACCCTAGATGCCTCTAACATATTATTGATTAAATTAATACAATTTAAAATATTAAATTATTAATAATTAAGTAAATTAATTAAACAATTAATAGTATAATAAGTGCATAAATTAATTATATAATTTATCTTAGGTATAGTAGTTAGTAATATAATTAGTAATTAAAAATAAATACAATTAACATACGTAATTAAATTTAAAATAAAATTAATACTTAATAGTGTAAGTACTAATTAAATAATTAACGAGTAATATAATTTATGTGATTAATGAGATAATTAATAATATAATTTATATTTTAAACTACCTAAATAATACTTAATTAATTATATTATATTATTAATAGAATTCAAATGTATTTGAATTCCGCATACAATAATTTCTCCACCTCTGAGCTGGGTAGTTCGGGCTGCAGCGATTTCATTGGAGTTACGCGCTACGTCCGGACACCACACCGAATAATTTCTATCACAAAAGAGCATAGCCAGAGAAGAATAATACAGGAATACATTTATTTAATTTAACTAATTATTTAAAAATTTAATAAGAATATAATATAATTAATAAATAAATATTTTGTTAAGGAAATTGATAATTAAATTATTCTTTTAATAAAATTATTAATCATTTTTAATTATAATTTAAATTAATAATTTACTCTCAAATTATTAAAAATATCATCAAAAGTTTTATCGCTTCTTTCTAATATAACTTTTTAGAGCAAAATTTTCTCGAATTAAAAAAAAATTCTAAAAAAACAATAATAAAACTATCCCAAACCAAGACTTAATTTTATTCACTATTCGTATGCATAATTAAAAATATAAATTATATTTAAAATAATTTAAACTCTTTAAATCTTGAATTGTATTATCAAATAATAACATCAAAATTATTATGATTTATCAACTTTTTTGTCAAATAATTTTAAGAATTTAACACCCTCGAATTTCATAAATTCAAATTTATATGAAACAGCACCTAAGGATTTACACAAAACTTCATGGTCAATACATCACCAAAAATTACATTGATCTTGCATGAATATAGAGGCATATTTGAATTAGAAATCTTCAAAATTCAATTTACAACCATCTGAAGACCGATCTTAGCAAATGTTTAGTTAAATGGAACATTTTGATAAGATAAACCTGATGAAACCAAAATCGATCTAATTCAAGTCCTAATGGGTTCGAATCAAGTTGTTGAAGCATATGTGAAAGCTTAAAAATATTAATTTAGTAACCAAATGACTTCTAAATATGGCATATTTATAGTCGAATAGAGCGGCTCGACGAGACAAATCCAACAAGCCCAATATCACTTAATTCTAACATCATTAAAGTACTAAAATGCTCATTGAAATCTTTATGATCAAAGAAATCATATATATCGTATGATGGAGCACTCCTAATTTGTCCTAAATTTTTTCCATATTTACAAAGCATGACATTTCCGAAAATCTATAAATAGGCTCTAACTCTTCACATAAAAGTGGAGGAAAAAAAATGTGAAGAGAGAACTAGTCAGGGCTCTCTTGCATTTTCAAATCATCACCATCAACGACCACCACAAAGTATTGCCACCGACAACCATCGTCACCATCGATGACCAACTTAAAAAAATCACCACTCTCTAGAGAATATTAAGAAGATTTAATCCCATAATTGATCCTGATCCAAACGGATTGACCCGAACTCAACCCTACTTTGTAAATGGGTTGGAAATTCAAACTCGTGCTGTAAGGTCTACCTGACCCGAACTAGTAACCCGAAATACAGCCAGCATGATAAGTTCGGGTGCGAGCGAGTGCTGGGTGCGGAGTGAGAGCAGGCCTCTTAGTGAGGGTGAGCGCAGAGCGTGTTTTGTGTGCGATGTGGGTGCATGTTCGGGTGTATTGTATATACATGAGCGTAGCTGGCTAAATGTGGTGTGGACTGCATAGCAATACTGGCAGCGTGAGTGCGACCTACCTGCAATGGGGTCCCTGGTGAAGTGTTAAAAGAGAGTGTGGGGTCGCGCTCCTTGTGAGGTTTTGGGATCAACTCAGATTGATTTTGGGTTTTTGTTATGTTTCGAGGATAACCCGAATCAGACCTGATTTTATAAATGGCTTGAAAAATGAAATCAAAATTGGCCCATCATGCAAACATGTAACCTGAATCAAGAATTTTGCTAGTTGCATCAAATATTGACACATCTATTTGTCCACATTATACATCAGTTTTATAAAATCCCTCTTATAAAAGTTAAGCTTTGTTGTGGATATTTGTTCATATTATACTTCAGAAGTCTGGGCCTCAGGTGGTAGTCTGAGAGAAGTATGAGCCTTAGGTGGTGGTCGGGCAGAAGTTCGGGCCTTGAGTAATGGTCTGGCATAAGTCTTGGTCTCAGGTGGTGATCCGACAGAAGTCCAGGTCTCAAGTGGTGGTCTGGCAGTAGTCTGGGCCTCAGGTGGTAGCTAGAGATAAGTTCGAGCATCATGTGGTGGTCTGGGAGAAGTCCAGGCCTCAAGTGGTGGTTCGACATAAGTCTGGGCCTCAGGTGGTGGTCCGAGAGAAGTCTGGGCCTCGAGTTGTTGTCCGGAAGAAGTCCAGGCCTCATGTTGTGGTTCGGTAGAAGTTCGAGCCTCAAGTGGTGTTCCGACAGAAGTCTGGGCCTCAAGTGGTGGTCTGGAAGAAGTCCGAACCTCATGTGATGGTCCGACAGAACTCCGTGCATCAGGTGGTGGTCCGACACAAGTCCGGATCTCAGGTTGTGGTCCGGCGGAAGTTTGGGTTCAGGTGGTGGTCTAACAAAACTCCGACGGTGGTCGAGAAGGAGCGAGGAGGCAAGAGCAATCTCTGATCTCTCTCTTGCTCTCTTCCATTGAGCCCCCCCTTTCAAGAGGGAGGAGGGGTCTATTTATAGATTTCCTAGAGTGGCATGCCCCGTAAAAAGGTGGGAGTTCAAGGGCATATGGGGAGTTGCTTGAATAGATGACCGATGTTGAAACCCTTGATCATGGACCAGTTGACGGACATTTAAATGTCTTAGTGATGTTAGAATTCAATGATCTTAGGCTCGTTAGATTTTTCTCGTCGAGCCACTCGATTCGACTATAAGCACGTCATGTTTGGAAATCGTTTGGTAATCCAAATTATGGTTTGAACCCTCCAAGAGTGCTTCAGACCCTATATTTGGACCCATTTTGGGCTCAGATTGAGTCGAATTTGGTGTCGTTGGGTTCATATTTCCGAGATGTTTAGTTCGACTGTAAATTTGTTGAAATCAGAGTTCGGATGGTCTCAATTTTAATTTTGGAAGTTTCCAACTTGATTTTGCCTCGAGATTCGTGCCTGATCAATATAAAATTTTTTAAGGATGTATCACATATTTATGTCTTAAAATATTTGCAATGTATATTTATTTTTATGTGTAATAATATTTCAGGTACATCATACACAAGTCAAAGAAAGCGCCGCCGAAGCTGCATGGGCAGGCTTATATAGGACTTAATATTGGGTAGAATATGGTATGCTGAAAAAGTATGTAATTTTTATTTATTGAGTCAAATCCTGTAAGGATGTATGCTAGCCTAATGATTGTGCATACACACACTCGTGGCAGTGAGATAGCGAGAAATTAAGAAGTTGAATTGTTTTAACTAATCATACTATATGATCCATATTGTATTGTATGATCATCTACTCAGGAAATCATCAAAATGATTGATTTGGTTAATTAAAGTTGTTTGAACTAATCGCATTGTACGATACAAATCGTATAGGACGATCAATTGAAATCAAGATCTTATACATCAATCATAATTTATGCAACATTTTGAAATTAAAAAAATATGTATTGTATTGCACGATATAATAAAATCATGCCTAAATTAATCTTGTAATTAACGATTGAATTTGAATTATTTGGTAAAGTCAAATCTTTGCATGTGATGATATTTATTCGTCACAAATCTTATAGGTCGATAATCCAATCGATTGAACTAATTGTATTAGATGTTGCTTACATCGTATTGGACGATCATCTCAAATACTTGAACTTATCATACATTGCCTCACTCTTCATATAATACTAACAGGGACATTGTGAACTAATCATAATGTACAATATGAGATCGTACCATATTATCATTATCGACATGATTGAAATTTGTGAGTTTTTTTAAGCCCTTATTTAGGCTTTCTCATAAGATTTTTGTAAGAGTCTTTTGGACATTCATTGAATATTTTCCTCTGAAGAAAGCTAGAAGGGAGAGCCTAAAACTTGGGAGAGAAATTGTGGAGTTTGTGAGAGATAGAGAAGACTCTTGTTGGTTTCAAGGGAGTGTGAGATGTAGTTCCACACGATTGTTTCAACGAAATTGCACCTAAGTTCATCAATGTGTCTAAGTTCTGTTTTTAGAGAAGCTTTGGAGAGAAGAACTCTTTGATTTTAAATTATATTAGTTAAGATAATTATATTAATATTTAATTATTAATTATATTACTAGCAACTTAATTAAGTTTAATAAAATAATTAATTTATGCACTAATTATATCATTAATTATTTAATTAATTTATTTAGTTATTAATATTTTAAATTATTTTAATTAAGTTTAATTTTTTATTTTTGTACATTAATTAAGTTAACGAGTAATGGATGAGGCGTCTAGGGTTTTCTTCTCTTGGTCGTCGTTGCTGTTCGGCTTCGTTGCGTCGCAGGAGGGGTAGAGATTGCACGAGTCGCTTCTTCGGCTCCTTTGTCTGTTCGACTTCGCTCCTTCGACGACGTTCCCTTCCTGTCGGATCTGACGTTACAGCATTTTGATTGGAATCAACGACGAGAGCTCGCTCGCTGTGAAGCTAACTTTCTCCCTTTCGCGCGCTTCTTCGACAAAATTCCGTAAATCCGACGAACTACAGGATTTAGTTAATACGGGATTTACGGCAAAAAGATGGAAGCGGAAAATTTATCCAGCCGTGAGATTTACGGAGCATAAATCCTGCTAAAATCCTACTAAAATTTTGTTGCCAAACAGCCCCTAAGGTTTTCTTTTCCCCGTCCCAATTTCTTCCTAGCTTATTCGGTTTCGCAGGATGCTTGTTCGCCTCTTTTGACGACGTCGGATCGGAAGTCACGACGGGAGCTCGCCGCGAAGGTAACTATCTTTCTCCCTTTGGCGCGCTTCCTTGACTAAATCCCGTAAATCCGCCTAAGCATCGGATTTGGTTTTAAGGCAAAACTGAAAGTTGTCTTTTTTGCTGTTTGGCAGGATTTATGCTAAATCTTTCTTAAATCCTGCATCCAAGCAGCCCCTTATTATTATTTTTTAATAAATTTTGGCGGTCATAGCAAAAGGTTCTATGAAAATTTGCTTGTTTGTTTCATTTAGTTATCTAAATTATCAGTTTTCTTTTTTATGTATCGGTAGACAGTCAAGTTGAACGTTTTTATTGCAAAACAAAGATTGGGTCTTCTTACTGTTCTGCCAAGGTCACCTTTGTAACCCTTTCAGTTGGATTGTCTCGAAGAACAAATTTATTATGATTATTTGCCTGAAATTATTCTATATTAGAATAAATTTAAGTAGGCTATTTTGTAAGTTATTCATTTTATTCATTAGGGTAAAAGAGTGCAAACAAATGTGAAAATTATAATGAAATAAATATACTCATTATTTTTTTAATATTGTGAAGAATCATATCAAAATACACAGGCTCAAACTGAATGCTTATTATATATTTATATTGTTGATATTTGCAAGAGTATCATTCTTATTTATCCTATGTTCTCATGGGTTCTACTTTAGGCTGTCACAAATAAGGGCTACACAAAGATTCTTGTAGGAAGATAGATTGAAATTCCTGTTTTGCTTTTGATTCATGTTTTTAATGGATGTGTGGATAGCATTCTTATTTATCTTATGGTCTTGTGCTTTGCATTTTAACGAACTCTCTATGATTTACATTGATGGTTTATTTCCATCATGAATTGAATGCATCACTTGTGTTAGAAAAAATCATAGTGATTGAGTTTGCATTAGCTGATGAAAAACTGAGAGTTCGCTGGTTATTGCTGATTTAAACACATACGTTAGAAAAACTGTATCCAGTCATTTGAGTTCTTACCTTTTTAAAGGTTTTTTTTTTTATGTTTTTTTTTGCAGGTTTTATCGAGTGATATAGCTGCTTTAGAACCTTCAGGCTAGTATGGATGTAAGTTTAAGGTTTATTGTGATATTGAAAACTTTGTATGGAAAGGCACCAATTTCTTTTTTAATCTTTGATGTTTGGTAGAGACCTTGTATTTATTTTTGGTTGCCTGTAACAACTAATTATTTCTGTTCATGCAGCCAAAAGTTCAGGCTGTTGATGTTGATAGGACGGCTGATGTTTTGGCACCCGATATTGGTTTTAAAGGAGGACTGAGCTTGCCAAATAAGGAACGTTTGCTGTTCAAGATCCCAGAGAAAAAATCAGTCCTGGGTACTTCTTTCTTTGACTATTATATTTTGTTCTCTTTTGTATATAGTCAGTTTATCATTAAAAAAATATTCAAATCAATGGAAAGAAATATTCCCCTTCATTATGGGATTTATTAGAAGTCACTAATAAACAACTCTTATAAATGATGCTCCTATTTCATCTCATCCTTGTGAATCTCACATTCTTTGATGAAGGACAAACTACCTTATCCTTAGACATATCAGTTTATTTTGTCCATCTACATCACTTTCAGTTGGCTCTCGATTGCCACATTTTTAATTTTTTATATGGTGGGTGTTTCATTTCTTTCCAATTTTCCTTCTATAAATGTCGATACAGCTTCTAACATTAGAGATTCTATTTATTGAAAAATTTCTACAAAATTTGGCTATTTCATTCCTATGCTTGAAGGTTCGTTTCTCCTGCTAAATTGTGTGTTTGGTACTTGGTAGCTTAGCTTTTGTGTCCAAAAGCCTTTGGCTGTGTCCTATTTATTATTATTTTTTTAAGTTTTAGTGAATTTCGGTTTCTCTTCACTGTTTCATACAACTGTTGTTCTCATATCTATCCATATTTGCCTCTGTTCTCATTTTCTCCCAACCTGTTTGTTCTGGGCTAGTCCCACTCCGTCACAAGAGGTGATTTCACATTCATCTCTCTGCTTATGCTGTTTTATTCGCTCCATGTTTGATCACTATGTATTTCATAGTATTTTTTATGTTCATTATTGAATCTACTTAGGTAGTCATTTCTTGCAGCATGCCATTCCACCCAATCTTTTCAAACTTGTCTAACCAATTCCTGCAATTTTTATCGACCACTATGGTTTTTCACTTTACAGTTTATGGGTTAACCCTTGGTTGTAACATGACTAATTGAACATTTTGAATATGCTGATATATATTTGCTTGCAGGAGATGCGGGAACCTAATTTTTGATCTTTACTTAGTGCTAAAGCACTATTATTCTATTAATTATTTTGAATTTGTGTTGTTGTTGATGAAATTTTAAAGGCAGACATAGTTTATTGGCATTTTTTCATATAAATTTGCTTATTTTCTTTGCTCCCTTCTATCCTGCTATCCCCAGTACTCTCTCTTTTTTTTTTTTTCATTCTCAAGTTGCTTACTGCATCAATGGACATCCTAGCACCGATTCCAAAAGAAGGGATGACAGACAACTGAGGAATAACAATATAGTTGTTTCCAAATGGATTATAAAGACAAAAGAAGATGGTATGCAAGTATTATAAATGACACTGAAGCCCAAAACAAAAGAAAAAAAAAACAAGAAATCCAATAAAGTTGACTCCCAGCAAAAGTCTTCAAGCATAGTATAGAGGACTCGGCCAAGGTTGTAGCCCCTGTGAATTGTCAGTAATCTATTATTTTAGCCTGCATGCTATTTGTATTAAAGAAGGTAGGCAGCTTATTCCAAAACAAGCATACAAGATACAACCAATCCTATTTTGTAGCGGGAATAAAAAAAAGGCACTCTAAACGGCTAATATAAACCTTGACACAAAATATCTTAATCAGCATGAAGACAGTAGTTTTCATCATGAACTTGTTATTATTCTTGGAAATTTGATTCTGGCAAAATTCAGAGTTGTGTTGGACTCCCAGCTTTTGTTTTCCTAGAGAACTTGCTTGACTGCAGTTTTCAGCTACTGGAAAATTTCAAAAGAAGAGGACGAACGGGGAGAAATAACTTGTTTTGTAGTATGTCTTGAGTGGAGTTTCTAGCTGTCGATCTGATGCTAATCAACTAGAAACTATTGCACCTATAACTACTATTGAGTATTTTTCCTCCAGCATCTTACTGAACTTTTAGGGAATTCAATTTGATGCTAATTTAGAACTTGTAATGGGCTGATTTTAGGCTGCAAGAATCACGGTTTTCCCATGTCATACCCCGAAAATTCTCCAAGATCTGAGAACTGGCAATTGGATTGGTTATGACAGTTGGAAGGCTGCAAGAACTCATTTAGCTTTAGTTTCTTGGGTCTGAAATTTTTACCAAACTTGCATCTGGCTTCAACTGAGAAGACGGATAGGAAAGGGGCAGCTGAAAAAGAAGGCTAAGGACCTAGGTAAACCAATTTTGACATGGTCTTGGATCCTGTTATGTTTTCCTTCCACCTCTCGTCTCCTTCATATAGGGAAATCCACCCCAAAGTGAAGGAAACTCTTTCATAATTTCAGGAATCTTTAAGCAACCATAAGGCAAAAGAGTGCAATATATTACTACACCGCCCTTATGTAAAAAAGGGGGAAAAAGGACAAAACAAATTAAAATTAAAAGGAAAATATAACACCTAACTAACTAATTAACTAATTAAGAAGGTTTAAAAAGCTAACAAACATAAAAGGCCTTTAGATCTTCTTTTCATTTACTGTATATGCTATGTTTTGTATGCTAATAGTTTTAGGCATGATGGTTTGAACAGGTTTGGATGTATTAGCTAGCGCTAAAAGGGCATCCAAAGGTGATGAAGAATTCAAAGCTCCTTCAGAAAGAACAATATCAGCAGTTACATATTTGGATGAGGATGAGAAGTCTGGTTCCTATGGATCAGAGGATTTTGGAAGTAAATTGTCCCTTAGTAGCCGTTCTCATGCTTCTCGTCACTACCGTGGGACTGTAGCTGAAGAGAAGTTACAAACAAGTCAGTTACTTTGTTTGTTTATACACAGTATTATAAGTTATTTAGTTTTTGTTCGTTTAGATTAATGTTCACCAATTTTATCTTTTCTTCCATTGGTAAAGTAGTTAATGACACTTCGTACTGATTAACCTTCTCACATGCTTAAGACTTTTTTTTATATGAAAACCTGCTAAAATTGTCCAAACGTTTACAGTGGTGGGAAATTTGTTTCTTGAGTTATCTGCCTTCTAAGAAAATTTGGGTGGTTATAGGTGGGGAAAACTATTTTCTATGTCTGTCAATGTTTATCAGCTTGGCACTTTGTTTTGTTTTGCTGTTTTGCATCAGTTGACTTTACTTTTTATTTTTAATTTTATTTTTATTTTTTTGTCAGTTGACTTTACTTGATTCATGAATGAATTTTATGTTTTAGAACTCATCTCTAAATTTAACATGGTTTTCCTGAATTTTATTTGGTCATGTATTGCCATTTGGAGGTCTTCTTTAGGTTTTCTCAATACAGTGAAATGCTAGGGCAACTGCTTGATGAAGCAATTTGGATATGGGTGCCAATTGATTTATTTGAGAAGATTTATTTCAACAGTAAATATGTTTTAATTGGAATTTGATGGACAATGTCCAAATAGTAATCTTATCAAAGAAGTTTTCACGTAGGAAATATTCTGAATGGGGATGTTAAGTTGTCCTAAAGAGTCATTTGAATTTTGACCAACCTTGTTTTGGTCTAGATCATTTACAGACTTATTTTACAGTTGCTTCTTAGGCTGAAGAAGTGCATTGATAGTTGGGCTCACAACTATATATATATATATATATATCGCCAAAGAACGAGCAACTGTCTAGTTTGAGAAAAGTAAAAGTTTTAGTCATATAAACAGATAATGAGGTTCTTGCCCATATAATGAGCAACTGTCTAGAAGTTTTAGTCATATCAACAGATAATGAGTTTCTTGCCCATATAATCTTTTCATATGAATAAGGGACATATTTGCTAGCGTGCTCAATGCTGCTTGAGATATCTTGATTTTGTTTTAATTTCCCTTCAATGATTCTAAAATGAATTAATTGGTCTTACTACAGAATCTGAGCTGATTGATGAAGGTATAGGAGGCTATGAATCTCGCACGGAGTTCTCCAGTGAATCTACAAGTCGGGATGTACGTTTTCTGTTTGTTCTAGTGTTAAATTTATAACATTATACTATAGGAACTGTTGAATTTTGTTCTCTATAATTCTTGTTCTTCAAAGCAGTGTATCTTGTATGTGTCATATTTGGAAATTTGATTATGCGTGGTAGAAACTTAAAAATTTAGAAGCATTTTAGAAAAATATAATTTGATCGCCATGCTGTAAAAGGAATAGAAATATTTTGAATAGCCGGCAAGGATACTCTGGTGGTAGGTTCATCGTACTCATCTTTAATTTATTTATTATGCCTCGGTTAAAGTGAGCATTTTTTTTATATCATATACAAATTGGTATCACTGAAGTTGCAATGATTTTGGAAGAAAATTTTGCAAAACTCTATCTTTATATATTGTGTAATGAGGAGAGCGCTTGAGTCCTGTGGATCACAAAATGTTTCTTGATTACAGGAGAGTTTGGTCATGGACGTGGGTTCTTATAAACCTTACCTTTTAAGTTTGTGCTAATCTCTATAGTAGTAATTATCAAAGTTTTAAGTTTAAAACAAATGAAAGGTATATGAAGATGAAATTTTTTTGTTACAGGATATGTATCTTGTTTTGTTGCAGTGATATTCTTGTAGAGGATTGAGGTTGTGCTCTTGCTTTGTTGAGGTATCCAGAGGTTGGGATGTATACATGAATAACATTGGGAAAGAATTTCATAGATTATGCTAGACATTTTTTTTTTCGTGATGCGGCTGTTTTTTATCATGCCATCAGTTAATGAGTTTGCAATATTCATGAGATAGGATTTTCGATTTTGAGCGTAGTTATGTAGATTTATTACATGACTAGATTAATGGAAATATGATGGAATTGTCAATTCAAATGTTATTCTTAATGGGTCCCAAAATACTCTTTTGACAAATTGACTTAGTTGAAGTTCATTGAAGATGCAGCATGAGGACGGCTTTGTTAGACATGCTATTGTGTAGGTTGTATCAGATTAGATTAGGGCAATCATTTTGCTGCTTTGATTAGTGCATCCGATTCCCTAGTCTGGCAGATATTTTTCATGGAGGAATACCAACAACCCTTACAGAATGCCACAAGTAGATAATATAATCATGCTGCCAATCATGATGGCATTTGCAGGTCCTTCAGATGGTTAGGAAGAGATGCACTTGCTACTCTTTCTTTTGTCATAATGACAACTTAAGGTCCCTTTTTGCTCCCTTTAAGTCTTCTCCAATTGTCCAGAGGAAAGCCCTTGAGAGTGTTGGATGACCAATCATAGTCGCTATACCTGTTTGTAAAGATACTGGGTGGTGTTGTTGTATGAAGGCACTTTATAAATGTTCTAAATCAATGCATGCTTCTTCATATTCCTCTCCAAGAACTAAGTCTCTACTTATGTTGCATGTAGGTGTCTAAAATATGCGGCCATCTTGATTAAGGAGTGATGCTCTCTCTGATGGAAAAGAAGCCATGACAGCATTCCACCTTTATCACTTGACTTCAGGCATTCATTCAGAGGCAATTGGCCTCAGACCATCACTCATTGTTGCTGGTTTGCTACTGCCTTTAAAGAAGAGAGGTGGTTGAGTTCTACATTCCCACAGCACATAGCTGCTTCAAGGCTGCCTATCAGTACTCTTTAGCACTTAAAATAGCGGGAAGCCAGGACCTGGTTCCTTGTCTATTTTGAATTCCTTGGACATTCTGTAAAGGACAATCCAACGTGACATGGGGATTTATTTATCCCATATAGTTCCTGTCATTCAATTTGTCACTTTATGGGTCATGCTTATCATGCAATTAGCCTTTTACAAAATTGGAGGATGAAGTGGCAATCCATTAAGGCCTTATTTTAGGTGAGGGGTGCATCCAACATCGCCTCTTCTACATGCTATTCCCAGGCAGCATGATGCTACACAATACCTTAAATCAAGACTCTTAATGGGTAACCCTAACATGTTTAAAGATCTCATGAGTCAATTGTGTTTGCAGCATGACTGTAGGAGTTAATGTGGCACATTATGGTTATTAAATCAACATCTTGGACAACTACCACGTTAACATCCAAAATGCTCTCTGCTAAATTAAGTAATTGGATCTCATGTGAGCAGTTAACTTATTTTGAACATCAAATCAATTTTGTGTTAAGCTGGTCTAAACTAAGATTAAGGAAGTAAGGGGATGCTACAGAGATTTCCCTCCAAACATAGCTTGACTTGAAACTTTTGAACCCCTTAGCTAATTTTAGTGTCATGGACTACCCCATGCGCAATCATCACCATGATAAGATTATGTCTTCTTCTTGTTATATTGTTTACATGATACAACTTTGTGCAATATGAGTATATTATTTCGACTATCTATTATATAATAGTTAGTTGGCTTTATGGGAAGTTTCCCATGTGATGTGGATTAATATTTGTTGGTCCTTTTTTCTTGACATGTTATAACATAAGGGCACATAACATGTTTCAGAAAGATGCGGATGCATTAATCACCTTGCCATTTGGTTGTGAAACATTATTAGAAGAGTTACCATCTAGGGGAAAGAAAACAATCTTTTGAGTGACTTTGATGAGAGAACCCCCTTTATCAATAGTCTTTTCACAACCCTTATTGTTAGATACGGAATGAATAGAATGGAGCCTTATGGTTGGTCAACGAACATGAATGACCTTGTAATTGTTTTTTGACAACCACTTGGATAGAGTGGTCTACTTCCTCTATAGCTTATCATTTTTGCTTGACGGCTCTCAATGTTTAGCTAAGGAATTGATTAATATCACTCCCTTGCAACTTTGCTGGTTGTTTTGATGAGCTGGCGCAGCAATACTTCAGCTAGTTCATCTTAAATCCTTAGGTTGATTACCATCTTAGGATTCCCAATGATAGGGCAAATTCACTTTGAGATTTCCTTAAGTGAGTTTCTAATGGCATTAATGAATTATTCTTTATTGTCCTTTACTACGTCTTTTCATTGGTCATTGATGTCTGAGATCACACAACATTACATTGATGTCATATGTTGGATAGAGAAACAATTGCTTGCATGGTATACATTAAGGGCTCATAAATGATAGTTTAAACACTTCACTATGAATAAATACTAATAGTTTAACTTAACCTAAGACCTATTAAATAACACGAAGAGTAGAAGTTCCAACCACCACTCATTTTAGCTGCCAGCATCATGATAGGAAGTGGATATAATTTCCTCAAAATTAGTGAACGACAATAAGAAATTGGGAAGAAGAACACATCAAAATTCTTTTTATTGCAAGATATATGAAAGAAAACAACAAGATACTGCTGGATCTTCACTTGGAGAAGAAGATTTGACTCTCCCAAATCCCTACCCGACGGATAGAGCCCTCACAACATAAAAAATTCTAATTTCAGTAAACTCAATTCATAATCTTGAAAGCACCCTATTGTTAGCTTTAAATAGGCTCTCCTTATCTAACACCCCATTTTTATCCCCTTTTAATAAACCTGGAGTGTTACAGAGAAGGAGAATCTGGAGGCATATCTCTTACTAACTTCCATGATGAAATACTTCCATCAGAATAAAATGAATATGAAATAGCTCATCCAGACTATCCCAACACATCAAGTTTTTCAAGCCTTAAGATTCTATTTCACTAATTCATAACTGGAAGCATAATAAAATACATCAAATAAATTACAGAGCTCAACAAAATTTTGAATATCAGTTATATTCTCAAAAGTTTGACTGTACAACTTCTTACTCTAGTTTCTATGCATAACCAAAACGTATGTATACAAAAGTTCAATCAACCTCTTTCCTAGAGTCCCACTGGCTTATTCTCCTTTCCTGTAGTATAACCATTGCTAATGAGCTAAAGTTTAATGAAATAAACAACTATAGTATTAGAAATAAGGAACATAATATTTTGCATTCAATTGTAAATGATATCTAAATTTATGCATGAATCATAAATTGGTATAAATAACCAATTCATAACAATGTCAATCACTGTAAATATTATTTAGCCTTCCACATACTCCTTGGTTTGTTTATTGTTTATTACCTTAAGCAAGTCGTATGATGACTATAGGCTTGTATACACTTACAACTCTCACCTTCATTGTTAGGTCTGAATTCTCAACTTTTTGATGTTAGAGCTCTCTCATTTAAGGTTGAGTCTGAATTCCCAACTTTTAGAAGTGAGAGAGTTGGGTACCTCCTGTATGGTCTCTAAGGTTTACCTCATCAAGTCTCTCGCCTTTAATTGTGCAGGCCTATCCCTGTATATTACTTACCTCATTTTTCTTTTCATTTAACTTTCACGAAGCTTCTCATTTTTCATAGCGTACACATAAATATCCCGTAACTCAGCTAATGAAGCAATAAATAAATACATGATGAAACTAGAATTAATCTTATCACAATCATAAAAAATGCTATCACACTTACATAAATACATGTTTGTGCATCTCACCTCGTTCTCTAGGATAGTTGGGTAAAGTTGCTCACCTGAAATACTCCAGCCACTTTTCCTCTTGCATACAAGCTAAAACATAAATTTGTTCATTTTTACTTGGATTCAAATAAAATAAAGCATACAATATAAAAATCTTACAAATTTATCTCAATTACACTCTTCCTCATTCAACCCAAAATTTCTTTTACTCTCCTAAACCTCTTTCCCCAACTTCTCGTCCTTTCTTTTCCCTTATTTTCCTTCCTTTCTTTCCTCTTTTCCTTCCCCTTATTTTCCCTTACATGCTTTCTGGAACTAGCTGCAATAACCTTGTTTCCACCTCCTAGCTCCTCTGCTCATGGCCAGCCACTCGAACTTCAGAGAACAATTGGCAGGTGGTGAGAAATGAATGGGAAAATTGCGAGTGCTTAAAGTAACTTAATATTATAGCATTACTAATACTTCTCTACAACATTCCACTAACCCTATTTGCCCTTTCTAGCCACATGATCCCATCCGCCCCTTGCATGCTTAGGTAAGTTGGTGGGATCAACTACAATGCAATAA